ATAATCATTCATGTTATAATGCGTTAAGGTCTTGTTTAGGGTAGCGTTTGCATGTTTTAATGACTCTCTCTCACCAACAACAATCGCGTTATGCGGGATCCATGTGCCGTTGTCGAAGTGAAATCGTACAGTCATTGATGATACTGTGTTGATACCGTGTTGAAGTTCCGAGATTGAGAGTTCACATACTATCTTGTAGTTAAGGTTTAATTAGAAAATAAATTGATTAATACAGAAGTGGTCGTGTGATTCTTTCCTGAAATTTTTGCATAAGATCTCTATCCTGCGATGAGATATGAACCTGGGAACCTAAACTATAAACACACTAATTCACTCAGTAATGTTAAAGCGAGAAGGATATGAACTTGGGACCTAAAATATAAATACACTAATCCACCCAATAAACGTTAAAGCGAGAATCATTGTATTATACTGATCGATAATACGAGGGGAGACAACGAAGCCGAGGTAACACTAGCATAACTGCATACGATTGATTGCATTATCCCGATTGATAACACCATCTCGTCAACGAGGCAGGGCCTGATGATCATAAAGGCTATCATTAACATAACCACACCCACTCGTATAAATTAACACGATTACCTCTCGAATTAGCATAATCTATACACATAATTGCACGAATTAACATAATTTCGGATAACTTATGCAAATTTCAAATTTCACTAAATTTTCATATTTTCATCAATTTTCATAACACCCACATATACAACACCTTCCCTGCTCGTCTGTGGGTCCACCTCCCACCTCGGAGCTGACCACTTCTCTGGAGTGAGCGAATACTCTGCGGCCGTGCTGTAATACGATAAAATAGGACACCCAACTAAATTACCAGAGATTTGCCCATATATAAGGCATGGTTACCCGAAGGGGCGTGGATACGGCTGTGTTGTCAATGTGCAAAAAACGTCCGTTTTATGCTTATGTAGTGACTCTCGGACAACTTGAACTGTACAGGTTTCTTTATGTATTATTTAGGACGCTCCACGCAGGTAACTTGACTTCAACAGGGATAACGCACAGATAATTTGGGCCAGGGATGGCACGCAAGTAGCGACGACGCGAAGACAGCGACAACCCGAAGACAGCGACGGCCTGAAGACAGTCGACCCCAATCCCACAGCAGCCTTGAGCCTCGCCCCTTGCCCCTTTTTATTCCCGGCGTGGCCCTCACTTCGCACCCGGCCACGCCCTCATTCTTGAATTGTCTCACGTTCCAGAACTTCAGATGGTTCCCTTCTGTAATTACTCCTCGTGATCCACTCGGACACGCACTGTCCCTGCACCCGCACTGTCTCTACAACCATACTGCTTTCCCCCACGTACTGTCTCCACACACGCACTCTGTCTGTCAAATTTTGTATTATAAATAATTTAATGAGTGCATGTGGTGGGGCTGCTGCCCCCCGACTCCTCGTTCTCCTGTGCCCCCCCCCCCATTCTCCTCTGCTCTCCCTCTCGCTGCTGCCCCCTCGCAGAATCATGATTCAAATAGCTGCTCTAGCTACCTCGCAAATACGCCGCGGTGCCCGTTTCGTACACGCTAACCACGAGCTGCGCAACGGCGAGAGTGCCCCGCGTACAGAACACACGGGGCACAACAACGCACAGGCTCACAGTTAACGTGCACGGCAAATGCGCACGCGCGGGCAAAATATGCGTTCGTGCACACGCACAAGAACACACAACGCACCGGCTCACCACACCATGCACTAGTGAATTAACGATCGGAGGACTTATACATTAGTTCCCGGGACAATAGCACGCTACGGATGCCCAGGCGTGCGCGTTAATCCCCGAGTGAACACGCAGGTGCAAGCGTGAACACGTGGGTGTTTTTCCAGGAGGTCCGTACCTGCGATACACTCATGGCACAACACACTCGAGACATAGAATTCCTGGGTGCACACCTGGTGTCCGAGACGCACCTCGAGGGAGACTCTTCCCAGCAACCCCATCCCGGCTCCACTTGCCATGTGCAGCTCGCGATCCGGGGCCTGCAGGCGGCTCACGTCAAGCCCGAGCACGCTGCTGTGTGTGGCGCTCACGAGTGAGGCCACCGCCCCCGTGTCCCGTAAAATTTGGGTGCGCTGTCCATTCACCTGTCCTACCAGCGACGTGGCCCCCGTGATTCCCACCACCAGCTCCCGTAGCCAGTCGCCCGTCCTCACGCGCCCTTAGGTGTTGTGGTCGGAATCTGTGTGGGGGTCACTCGCTCACCATTATTACTATCGTCGTTTTGTCTCGGGACCACGTCGATTGCACCCCTAGATGGTCTACTCTCTAGGGGGCATTGGCATTTAACCCTGGCGCGTTTCTAGCGTGGGTGACCTGAGAGCAGTCCCTCATGAGATGCCCTCGACGGTCGCACAGGTAGCATGCCCGGGGGGCGGTCCCATAGGAGGTCCCCTGCCCCTCCCTTCTCCTCTCCCCCATACGTCACCGCCCAAGCTCTGCCTCCAATCGGGACACTCTTCCAGCTAGCCCCCCTACCGTGGAGCGCATCTCTCCCATTTCGGATTGAATGGTGCGGAAATCGGCTTCGCTGTCGTGGCATCACATATGCAAAACCATTGCACTGATGTCATACTTCATATTTAACTGGATTCTGTGTGTCCGATCTTATATTCAACTTCATTTCGTGAGTGAATACAAGACCATGTATGCTGATGTCCGATTTTATCATTGCTGCGATTCAGTCTATTCCGATGTACTACTTCATCTTTAACTTGATTCTGTCAGATTTTGCATAACACTTCATTGAGTGCAAAGAATGACAAACACAAAAGTGGATATGTGAACAGCACCTCACATGGTGACACACCCCAGAGAAATACCACAAAGACACATGCCTGAGTTGTAAAGTCAACTTCACTCACGCCTATGGCCCTACGCAATCCTGAAGCACACACACAGCCCCCCAATTCCATGTCTGCACAGCAAATCTGCTCCACTCAGCTTCAGCTGGCAGTCTTGGTGAGGATAGAGAGGCTTGAGCTGGATCCTCACTCCTGTCCCCTCTTTCCGGTCCCCACAAGACGCTGCTCTATGCATTGCCTCTGTCTACTGTGGCTTCCGTATCTGGTTTTGAAATCTATTGAGTTATAGGTGAGTGATGGAGAAGATGTGGTGGTAATGGGTCCAGGATTGGTTTCAACACCCCACGTAATAAACAATATTTTTTGTTTTGATTTAAAGCTTTCGTGACTGCAGGGATTCATATTCTTGGTTATTTCGGTAAAGTCACGTAGAAGGGAAACAATGTAACTACTACCACAGAGGCAACTTAGTTTGTAGACGCTAGGGTACTGTATGTCCGGAATCACATCTTTTACAGACGAAACCAGCATTCGTGAACACAAAGCAGATCTGAAACATGGTAGGACCAACACCTCGGCCGTGGCAGATCACTGCTATAATTCAGTAGGTTCACGTGACATTGACTTCTCCAAGACAGAGGTTCTTTGCAAGCCATCTGGCTACCATGGGAGATTCGTTCATGAGGCTATCCACATATACAAACACAGAGACAATTTCAACCGAGAAAATGGATTCTGGCCCTAGCAATCATTGGAAGGATTTGATAAACCATTTCGGGTCTTAATTGATTGTTCACGCTTACGGTGGCTTTCAGACTGCATCCATTATTTTTTGTCTCCCCCCTCCTCTTTTCCGAACATAGATGGACTCGTCGATCTGAACTAACTGTCAAATCTCTCTCCGTGGTGCTAACGTTAAAAATAACCGCCACTTTTTTCAAATTTTCTTGTTGTGGTTTTCACACCTGATGATGATTGCTTGTGTTGCAGTCGAAACGTCGTGAGAATTGTATTGTTTTATATTTTTATTATTGTATTGTTTCCCTTCTATGTGACTTTACCGAAAGAACCAAAAAAATGTTTTTTGTAATAGAGTGCTGTCCAAAATGACGTTTTCTAACATGTAGAGATGCATCCAACGAGTGTTCTTTAAGCTATAGGTGACAAGTGGAGACCTATCAAATGAACAATTTAACATTGTAGGATATTCATAATAAAGGTTTTTGGGTTAGATCGCGTTTATTTATAAATGTGTCGTAACCCTCCACCACCCGACACGGCCAATCAGCAAAAAAAAACCGTCACGTTGATAAAAGACAATTCACTACTTTAGCCCACCGGTGTGTTGAAGAGTGAATCCACATTTACAGTTTGAGTACGACGTTTCGCTGGTAAATACATCCAGCATCATCGGGCAATTCGCCAGAATGGTAAAGCCCTCGCTTGCTCCCGGTTTTATATTTAGCAGCAGGGTGACGTCATCACTTAACTCATATCAGGTGCAGTGATTAGAGGCGGGGGGGGGGGGGGGGGGGGGGGGAAATGTAATTATATAATCGATTAGTAATCAGTCATTGGTTATGATTAGTAATGAGTTGTAGATTAGTAATTCTTTAAATCAAAATGTAATGTGTATTATTTAATAATATGCTTCCAGGCCGCACTAAGCCTGTAGCTGTCAGAGCGATTAAAGTTATTCTTGTTCCTCTCAATTTCAATGGATTCTCTAATTAGTCTTTGCCAGTAATAATTAGTTTTACACACCACTGCAACATTGTCAAAATCAATTATTGAGTGTCCTTGTTGACAAGCATGTTCTGCCACTGCCGACAGTTGTGTTTGAGATAATTTAATATTTCTCTGATGTTCTTTTAGTCTTACGCTGATGTTACGTAACATCAGTGTAAGACTTTTGATATTTAATTAGGAAAACATTCCGATCGCCAGTGTGGTTTAACTCGTACAACACACGACTGTATACAGCACATCAGAGCTCTAAATTCCAACAGATTGCATTGCACGCTTAAACGCCACTTAACGATAATTACGAGCGCGTGCGTATCACGGCCGACGCCGTCGACGATTCACGGCGACTTGAAACAGACACCGATACAAAATGTAGTCATCTGTACACGGCTTAACGCCAAGGCACGTGCACAGCTGCTCGTGACGAAGCCCACGGTTTCAACGGTGGCCCGAAGTGGATTTGCTGCGTTGCAAACAATGGGATGGGCGTCGCTGAGCGTTGATGATCCCAACGACCCAAATTGGCACGCGGCTTGGTGCGCCTTGCAGGTGGTCGGGCGCACGCAGGTATAAATAGTAGGGGCAGCCGAAGAGAATATCAGTGAGACTTGTGGGTCCGCATTTTTTGTGTGTGTGTCCCGGAGGCAGTAGGAGGCGAAGCTGGTTGTTTAGGTTTTTATCCCTTTCCGAGATCCCCGTGGTGGTGAGCACAGCGTAAGAATGGCCAGTGCGGTTGTTGAGCATAGCGTGACTCCAAGCAAAATTCCCCTTCCTGCCGAAGAAGAAGAAGAGGAGGAGGCGGAAGAAGAAGAAGATTGGTGAGCTTGATTTTTTTCGTGTATTGCCAACCCCAGGGCTTTGATCGCAGAGTGCCCATGCTGTGTAAGTGCGTCAGGGGCCTACAGCTCCTTAAGGGGGGGCAGCTGTAGCCCCCTGACGTGTTTTTTGTGCGAGGACCCCTGTGGGTCTCCACAATGGCGAAGCTATGGAGGTGTGTGCAGGTTGTTTGTTTAACTGCAGCTCTGCCTAAATGTGCAAGTTAAAAACCAGAGGGCCCGGAAAAAATCCACAGAAGCTGCAAACTCTCGTTTAAGGCATAATTGCGAGCGTGTCTTTCAACTAACAGAAGGCCAGAATCCCGGCCGAGTGGCCGTTCTTGAGACCTTGAATTAAATGTATAAATGTTCACTACTGGAGTAGTGTTGTGGATTTGCTCTAACACACCGGTGTGTTGTACTCCTAACGACTTGACATGTTCTGTTTACCTGACAAACCTTATTAGTTGGCTGTGGGGTGGCAGCGGATTTAACGAGATTGTGTCGCGAAAGCCTCCGTGTTTTAAACGGTGTACGCGTTTGTCCACTGCTACATGAAGGCTTCCTCACGCGGTGTTAGGTCACGATGTTTAGACCATACTTTGCCATGCAGCTTGTGTTTAGATATCACTCAAATGCATTTTAATATCGGGCTTGGCGTTCTGGATCACGCGACGTGACTTGTAATGACGAGGGTTTTCTTTAACAAATGCGGTACCGTAGACTTTTTTTTACAGCAGTCACAATTGACTCAACCTAGTTTTTACACCTGGGCATACGCTTAAGCTTTTTGGGCACGCGTTTGCCTGCGTTTTTAAACGTGTACCGATAAATAGTCGGCGGTATACCGTGACAAATTATTCTTATAAAATTAATGGGTGTAATTTGGGTTTTAACACTCACAGGCCAAACAAGTCCTAAATGGTTTTTTTTGCGCGAGTGAGGCGCAGTTTAATTTCAATTCCCACTTTTTTTCAATCTGTAATACGGTACATCGAAGTTTTTAAATGGTTGGAGGTGTAATTAAAGGTGAACTTTCTAAATTGGTTACGGTAATATATTGACCGTTAACCCCCCCCCATGGTTTTGTGAAACGCGTTAACTCGTCGTTTTCCTGCCCGCTCTACCGATGGCTTATCTGACCCAGATTGAGTAGCCCGCGTGTGTAACTCCAAGTGAAATGCCGTGGTCTTTGTTTTTGGAGAAAATTGCTGCGTAACGATTGCCAAAACGCACTGCATAAAATTCATGTAGTTTCCTGTATTAGCAACACCTGAAATAACTACAGGCGGTACACGTGCGCTCTGCATTGATGGCACGGCTCCGAATGTACAACCGGATTCGTTAATGCACTCCAAATTCGGTGCTCTTGAATTTGCTTGCACGATTATTTCGCAGTCCGAGTGTTTGGGTGGCATTTTTCAAAGATGTAAGCAGCTTTTAAAGATCGCATTTGTGCGGTGAGTTGCAGGTGCTGCAATAGCCTTTTTAGATGCCAAGCATTGATTGTACACGTTCCTTTACAACTGCTTTGTTTAGTTTATCCCCCCGCACCTCCGATTAGCACTGTTGGCGACATACTTCGCCAAAGGAGTTCATACATAAAGTACTGTAATAGGGTTCTAAGCAAAGCTTATTCTGCAGTGACTTATGTGGCCGTCACCATCCCGAATGTCTTGTAAGTTGTGACAATTCCGCCTAATGGGCCTGTATTTGACTTGGCTCCCACTCGTGGCTGACCGGCCGAGGTTGAGCCATTGCCGTATGTTGACATATGACCTATACATCCTCATACTGCATGCCGTTGGATATATGGTATGAGATTAAGGGTGTTGCATTAACGCTGCACATTACACCATCGGTAAAAGCAAACCAAGAGGATGACAAATCGGTACGTGGAAATGAGGGATGTGAGCAGGCAACTGAACTTTAACCAAAATAACAAATGGTTTCTAAATGTTACCCCTTGCATCAATCTGCTTCTGTTGCTTAGCTTCGGCTCTTCAATGTTGGTAATTGGCGAGCCACCCAGCCATGTTGTAACGTAAGGATACTAGAACGCATACGTTCATTAGGGGCCATCCATTTAGTGCGTACGCATGGAGCGGGGGGGGTTAACCCAAATGCGTATGGGGGGGGGGGGGTCTACTGAATGTACGTACGTTTTAATACAAGATTTCGCTACCAATACGATTCGTAAAAGTTTTTGGGTTAGATCGCGTTATTAAATGTGTCGCAACCCTCCACCACCCAACACAGCCAATCGGTAAAAAAGTCGGTTTACTATTTCAGCCCACCGGTGAGAATCCACAACATTTACAATTTGAGTAATACGGACGTTTCGCTAGAAATTACAGGTAGTCCTCTACTTACGATGGAGATGCGTTACGACGACCCCATCGTAAGTCCAAATATCGTAAGTCGAAGATGGCCTAGCCTACCCAGGAGTCCTAAAGAATGGTGATAATTTAGCACAACAAAGCAATTTACAGTACCGTACTGTATTAATTACAATACTGTTCCATAGTAAAATGTAAAGTAAAAAAACAAGTTTAAAGTCTTAGCCTACCTGTGAACTGCAATTTCATAGTTTTCAGGAAACCTGTCTGCTATAAAAAAAACCTCGTACGCTGCTGCGTTTGCCTGCCGCGCGAAATTAAAACTCTTTCACAATTTTGTCATATCACCATCGTAAGTCGAACTATCTGTACATGCAGCATGTTCTGGCGATTTGTCAGTGTTCTGTTCTGGCAAGTCGCCCGAAGATGCTGGATGTAATTACGTCATACTGAAATTGTAAATCTTGTGGGTTCACTCAACACCGGTGGGCTGAAGTAATACATTATTTGACTTTTTGTTCACGTGACTTATGGATTGGCCGTGTCGGGTGGAGGGTTGCGACACCGCGATTAATAACCCAAAAAGCTTATAAATGTACGTACGCATAGGAAACGGGGGGGGGGGGGGGTGAAGCCTCGATAATTTGTCTACATTGGCCTTCAAATGAGTTGGCTAGTCCGACGGTGGACTATCTGTATGCTTAAACACGTTAAATATCGGCCGTTCTATAGGTTTCGTAGGGGGGGGGGGTCTTTTTGGACATTTTTCGTACGTACTAAATGGGTGGTCCCTTACCGTTAGAATAGAGTGGGGGGGGGGGCATTGAAGGAAATGTGATACCTCCCCCCGAAATAAAGCGTGTGGAAAATATTACGAATGAAATGCGTCCCCACTTTAATTCGCCTTTATTTTGCTGTTAATGTGATCCTCAACTGCCCTTGTAGCCCCGAAATCGTCAAGGTGGCAACTGCCATTCAATTGCTGGAAGAAGGCAAGCAGAATCTTGCCGACGGCAACATCCCGTCAGCTGTGGATGCTCTCCAAGACAGCTGTGCGCTGCTGTGAGTAGTCGCATTATCACAACCGTGCCTTGCGTTGGCCCACTTGTGCATCGTTGCAATCTCCAGTAATGCCATTTTTTTTGTCTTTTCCAGAGCTGTTGTATCTGCTGTAGTGGTCTTCCTCTTTTGGAGGTTACCATCTATAAACCCAGGATGCTTGCAAATGAAATTCCAGATCTTAGGATTATTTGGGCGATTTCAAATAAAATCCAATGCGCCCTGGTATATTAAGTGGCAGCTGACATTGGCTTTGTAACAAGATGCTAGATTTACTTGGAACCCTTTTTTAGTAGTGGTTAAGCCATGGGTAGCATTTTATGCTCGCTTTAAATGCGTAGTTTCTTACAATATGGTAGTTTTATTTAAATGGTGGTGTTTGGGATATTTGGTCCATGTTTCATCTACAAATATTGAAGTTATGACTTGCACTTTGTCTCCTAATCGCCCAGTTAACATGTTTTTAGAAACAATTTAATTTACAAGTTTTAAATAAAATGCAAAATAGTCTGCAGTCCTGTGCGTCTGATTTGTCTACCCATCCTGTTTGGTTGTATCTGCTATGATGCTTTTGTCACAGTGCCAAAGAGTTTGGGGAGACTGCAAATCAGTGCGGGGAAGCATACATGGTGTATGGGAAAGCATTACTTGAACTTGCCAGGTGGGACTACACTGCTCCATGATTAATCTGTTTTATTCAAGCTGCATGGTATATTTTGTTTGACAAGATGAAATGCTTACAAATGGCTCGTTTCGCTTTTGAAACATTTTTTGTAATTACTTATTTGTATCAATCCATTATGGCTTGATTGACCATACACTGCTGTCCAAGCTGTGACCACACCTGTTGCCATACACTAATGCTAGCCCAACCCTGGGTTCTGGACTAGATTTTCCATTTAAACGTATTAAGCATTTAGTAAAAATTTTTGGAAGTGGTTGCTTTATATTAAACTGGATTTTTTTCTTGTTGCCAAAAGTAATCTTGGGCAATCGGTAAACCACTATATGTTTTAATTGTCATGTTACTTGAAATACCAAAACGCTGTACCTTCCAAATGTTGAAAATTCTAGATTGCCTTCTGTATATTGTGCTAGAAATTGACTGATTGCTGAAGTGTATTGGTGCTCATCACGATACGCGTTTTAAGATGGTTAGGCGTTTGCCTAAAATTAGCTTGTCATCCCATGGTGTGATGGTTATTAGACCCTATCACGTTTAGCTTTGTAGCAGTGGACCAAAGGCTGGTTTGTATATTGCTGGCTGCTGCTAAACGGGCCTAGTAATGAAACACAAGTCACACCATCTTCATAGCCTATTGTGCCGTGTTGCCATTAATTTCAGTACTGAATATACAACATGACTCAAGCCACCTTGCTACATTGTGTGTGTACAGGATAGAGAATGGAATTGTAGGAAAAGCCTTGGAGGGAATGCCTTTGGAAGAGATTGGAGACAGCAATGACGAGTGTATTGGTGATACGGACATTGTGGCAGGTAGGAACACAAGGGCCCAATCTTATCAAACTTTGCCTAAAGGCACTTATTATTATGCTGTCTTACAGAAGCTTTTATTTTAGATTGAAAAATCGCAAATAATTTTACTTGTGCAATGTACTTTGGAAACTTTTACTTAATATTCCAATACTTTGCACTCTGGTTTTTATATTGTGACTCTCTGACCTGCCCCTCCTGGACTTCTGTAAAGAGCTTAATTGCCCATCGGATTTCTTTCAGGATAAATGCCAACATTTGCTAAAGTGTTTTTTGTTCAATGCCTTATCTAGAGTGCTAAAGTTTCAAATAGTGGGCTGTTCAAATGCAATTACCACCTTATAAAAATCTTCATGCTTCGAACTACTTGCTTTAAACTTAGACTACTGCTCAAGCTTTTCTGCTGTACTAAATAGTTTGAAAGTAAACGGACAAGGCTGGCCAAGCAAGATTGTTTATCATGTAATATAATTTGTATCGTACTTGATATCCATTTTTATTGCAATGTCATTGGCAGATGACGTTCAGACAGAGGAGGAGATGGAGCGGCTTCGTGAACAGGTTTATGATGCCATGTCGGAGGGGAAGCCGAGCAGTGAAGCAGGGGAGGATGTTGGCTTTGGAGATGGAGAAACGGAAGCAGGCATGCAGGTTCAGGAACAAAAAGGTATGTGGGTACACAAGCTTTTACAAAGGTATGCAGTACTCGTCTGAATTTCCTTGTGGCTTTAGTTTATAAACAGAATTTTAGATCTAACAAATTGGACGCTGTTTGGTTCATCTCCTTGTGTACAATATTGTGGGGTTTTGTGCGAGCTTAGCGTTTTTACGTATCCTTTGTGGCGCTTGGATTGCTGTACTTGAAATTCTGTTTTTGAAACGAGTGACCATTAACAATAATATAATTTAGAAATTTCGACTTGCCATTAAACCTGTTTCATCCCTGCCACAGAATCGGAGGACAATTCTGCAGCAGGAGACGAAGCTGTAGAGGGTGACCAGAACGTTGAGGTGGAGATGGCAGAATCTGTAGTAACCAATGCAGTGGAGAAATCAACTTCTACAAATGGCAGCTTCTCTGAAGAGAAACCGTCATGTTCAAGTAGCAGCCTTGAAAAGCCTGCAGCCCCTGAGGAATCTGTAGTAGCCAATGAAGTGAACAAACCAACCTGTACAGATGGCAACAGCTCTGAAGAGAAACCATCATGTTCAAGTGGCAGCCTTGAAAAGCCTGCAGCCCCTGAGGAATCCATAGCCAATGAAATGCACAAACCAACCTGTACAGGTGGCAACAGCTCTGAAGAGAAACCGTCATGTTCAAGTGGCAGCCTTGAAAAGCCTGCAGCCCCTGAGGAATCCATAGCCAATGAAATGCACAAACCAACCTGTACAGGTGGCAGCAACTCTGAAGAAAAACCATGTTCCAGTGGCAGCCTTGAGAATCCTGCAGCTCCTGAGGACAAACTTGAGGAGCCTGCTGTTCTAAAGAGGAGCAGTGACTTGTGTCCAGATAGCATGGAGCATGAAACTAATTCAAATGACCTCAAGGAAACAAGTGGGCTAGCGAATGACGACGTTAATAAGAATGAAGGCCATGGTGTCTCAAACGGAAAGCATGATGCACCTCGGGAGGCCTTGGTGAAAGTTGGTGAGAAATGTGCAGAATAATTTCGTAACACTTTGGGCTATATTATGTAAATAAGGTTTGTCATGTAAACAGAACATGCCAATTCGTTACTAGTACAGCACACCAGTGTGGCTAGCCAAGCCACTATTTACAATCTGAGTTTCACAAGTAATTGCAACTAGCTTCAGGCGACAGCCAGGTTTTGAAGTCCATTTGTTGCGTTCCTTTAGATGGGTGTAGATGTGGTGACATGACTGATCTTTTTGCACGAAGTGGGGAGGGATTAAGTAATGCATATGCATGACAATGGGTTTCTATTGCTGTTTTGGTTATATAGTAATCTGTGTACATTAGACATACCCATTACACTTCCTGTTTGTGTAAAATAGCCATACCAATGGTAATCCCTAATTGAAGTATAACCTGTATAGGCATGCATTTAAACAATTTGCTTTTGTACTCTTTGGGTCTTGGTAAGTCACGTAGATTGAAACGTCAATCTATTTTTCTATTTCAACACAGGCAATCGTCTTCACGTGCACACTACTAAAACGGTCTTGCATAGACCTGAGATGAGAGCCCTTGGTAAGAGGGTGGGGCTAGCGATCGTCTCCCTGAGGCTGTGGAAGTGGCCATTGTAGTGAGATTGGCAGGTCAAGTAGGAAATCCAACCTAGTGATGCAACTTGGTCGTCTAACATCAGCAGTAAGGATGGAAACATCACAACTGGTTAAGACTTTACCTGGTTAATCACGTCCTTCCAGTAATTGCTCAGTTTGTACCCATCTTCTCGGTTGAAATTGTGTTTTTATATCTGTGGCTTCATGAATGCATCTTCGTTGATAGCCAGTGGGTTTGCAGAATACGTTTTCGAAAAATAAATAATGCAAACCCACAGCGTTAAAACAATCATCCACGGCTGAGGTATTAGTCCTACCATGTTTTCAGATCTGCCTAATGTTCACGAACATGGTCTGAGACGTGTCACTTTCCCCAATGTAACTACTGCTGCAGGCACAGCTTGGTTTGTAGACACCGGGATATTGCATTGTCAGAGATCACATCCTTCCAAGACGATCGGATCACGAATTTTATGTACTGCGACTCCAACCTGGATCTTGTTCATGCTTTTGTAAATATTTTGTTAACCCCTGCCATGTACGGCAAGGTGGTAGTTTTGATTGGGTCCTCCTGAAGGTTGGGATGACCAGCTTTGCAGATTGTGGTCTAAATATCCATTCATCTTGGGGGCTTGGTGTATGTGCTCCAGTTCACTGGCTTAGGTGGTGCTGGTCAGAGACGCAACAGGCCCTATGTGTAGTATTTTGATGTGGGAATTCTTCTGGGCTAGATGGTGGTGGGAGTCAGGCTTTAGATAGGCATCTGTGCAGGTGGCTTTTTTTGTAGATGGAGTGTCCCAATGAGCCATTTGGTCTCTTTTTGATTTATACTATCCAAGAATGATAACTTGCCTTTTCCACTTCCATGGTGAATTTAATGGCTGGGTGTATGAAATTATGATTTCAGTAACTTTCGCTCTCACCTGAAGGCAATTTGCCTGCGTTGCAATCAAAACGTCTATCAATGTGACTTTACCGAAAGACCCAATAGTATGAATTCCTGCAGTCACGAAAGCTTTAAATCAATATTTACTATTTGATTTGCTTCCAAGCAGGACTAAGTCTAGCTATGAACAGATCTAATTATTTTTAACCATGCATAATACATTGTTTCAAATACAGATCCCCATACTTCAATTGAGATGACTGTTAGTATGGCTATTTTAGTCCACTTGACAGGAAATACAAGAATAATGGACTGCATGTATAACTTACATTAACTACCATATAACCCAAACGGCAATGGATACCACCATTAATCTCTCCCCCCACCCACTTCACTCGAGCACACAAGTGTCTATGCCTGGTTAAGGAACAAAACAGACTTCTCCACCTGGCTGCCACCTGATGATGCTAGTTTTTCCTGGCAAAACGTACTTGGATTGTAAATGTTGTGGTTTGGCTCTCCAACACATACGTGTGCTGTACTAGTAACAAATTGGCATGTTCTGTTGTCGGATATGGGTTTCGGAACACTTGCGCAATCGAACCCAAGCTATGGATAACATTGGTCGCGAAAGCCCGCGTTTAAAAAATAATGAATTGGTAAACATTGCTTTTCGCAGTTAATATTTTATGCCCTTTACATTTCTCCCTGCTTTTTAAATCTCTTCTCCGAAGACTCGAAGCCGACGGCACATTCCTGCATGGATAGACCCAACAGTCCAAAAGGGGATTTGGAAGGTGACAAGGCTGACGTTAAGATGGCTGAAGATGTTGCAAAGGTAACTGGGGAGATTGGCAACTGCTTGCTGCACCATTTATCCGATGGCCTCCTGCATTGCAAATATTGGCCTGTTTTTGTAATAGAAGGAAACAATGGTCTGGGGAAAATATCCATGCATGAGAAGAAGATGACTTGCCTTTTTCAAAGAAGCCAGCTTAAACAGTGCCACTGAACTTTGGAAACTATAAGTTAATTCTTGGCCATGCACCTTTTGACAAATTACATTTGCGCATTTGTCTAACCTCGGTAAATGTGGTGCAGGGGGATGTAAAAGGCAGCTGCTATTTGCACCCAATCATGTGCATTTACAAGTACTTGCCCCCTAAAGCCCAAAAATGGCTTGCTGGAATATCTTTTTGGCTTGGTGTGGTTATGCCTTTTCATTATAGTATTTGCCTTGGATTATGGTCGCAAGCTTTCTAATCATTGGGCTTGTGCTTAAAATGTCAACCGTGCATGGAGTTTGCAGTTGTACAGGGACATGATGGTGAATTTTAAGTGAGATCTTTGTGGTGAGTTTTTGCTCCTGGAGAAGTGCATGCCTGGCAAACCCCATTTTGTAATTAGAAAATGTGCAACTGGCATTCTCCAGGAACATTCACCTTAAATTATTCAATGATGTAATTGTAGCCAAAACTTCACTCGAATTTTAGAATAACTCTTAATATTTAAACTCCTTCAGGGCACTAATGATGCGGATGATTCGCGAGAGGAAGTTTCCCATATGCAGCTTGCCTGGGAGATGCTCGACCTGGCAAGGGTCATCTGTACAAGGTGGGACCTGAAGCCAATTTCTGGACTCTATTCGTGGCCAACATTTAGGGGTTTGCTAATTCGATTTCCATACAGCCATTTTTTAATAGTTGCCTGTTTTACTCGCAGAGACGTTTTCATAACAATATAAAATATCAGTGGCTTTTTTTTCAGGCAACGCACTCGTGAAGCACAGCTCCATGCTGCAGAGGCTCTTCTCAAGCTCGGTGAACTGGGTCTGGAAAAAGGTGCGTCACACGATCTCAATCTTGTGCATGCACTGTCTCCTACATTTATATTTTTGAAAGTTTGGGTGTATTTTGGGAGGTATTTGTATTTGCTATAGCATAACATTTAAGAAGTTTCAATTTGTAGGTATGCAGCCATCGATGTAACAAACTATGACAACCTTCCACAGCCCACTAAATTAAATTGACAAATGCTAATAACGTGGTGGCCAATCATTGATCCCCCATCTACAGAGCCACACCAATGGCCCTCAAGTCCAAATTGGGCCTAGAATAAGGATCTTCTCGGTAAATGGCGATGCGCCCCAGGCCAAGTGTACAGTATCTTGCGAACACATAATTAAAACCCATGACTTCACGAAACACGTCTTGTATGCCCAACATGCCAGTTGCTACCACATCCGTGGATACAACCTCACGATGAGCCATTGCCATCCAAAATATGGCTTTGCCATTATTTGTGAACACCATTGCAGACGTCTGCACCTTTCCACAACTGAAAAAGAATCCACCTATACCACCATCAACATAAGGGAACTGCACATCACCAGCATGTAGAGCCAGTATTCCCAATTGTGCCAATCCCAGCCCTATACGTTAATGACTCGGCAACCAATACAGTAAATCAGACACTCTTCACCAGAGATCTGTGCCTTGTTTTCAATCCCAGCAGCAAGCAACATTCCACTGCTTGCTAGCAATGTAATTACAACCCCTGACTTCGTGATCCTTTCCAAGGATCAAAAGTGGAAGCACACTTCATGCATCCCTGAAAAATACTTAAGCTTTCCCAAAAGCCAACATGGGTCCATCAGTGTCAATCACTGATTTCTGTAACCCATTCACAAAGATAGAACTTGGCCACAGCCGACTGGGAACCACTAGCTGCAGAAAATCGCGTTCCTTCAACGCCAGAATGTCAGCTTTGGCCTCTTGCTGCTGTGCAGAGCATCCCCTGAGGCTTCTGAAAATACTTCCTGCTGATCAAAAGTCCCAGGACCTGCAAAATTACAACCATTTGGGCAACCCACAGATTGGCGTGGCCCTGCTCTAGTCTCTTTAGACTTGAGCAGACCATCAGTGGTGGATTGTACATCAAGGCCTGGACTTCACATGCTTTCCAGCCACCCTTTATATCCAGGTGTTGCTAACCCAAAAGAATACCAGAACGCAAGGATCCTGCCAAACTAACCCTCCATAAACTCGTGGCAAAAAAAGGCACACGTGACCAAAAACGAGCCATCGCCAATTGCACCAGACATTGGCCTCTTTGTTCAAAACCGCCATCAACCAAGCAAGGGGGGGGGGGGGCGCGGTCTGGCTTGGAGGCAAGGCTTTAAGCAGAAATGGTATTCCTCCTTCGGCCAGAGGGAACTTGAATGGCTGACAAACCTATACAGAAACCATAAACTATTCCTAAGCCCTGCAGGAGGCAGTAGTCGGTGCAGTACCCAAACTGGGCTAGCAAAAAAAAGCTAAGCTGAGATTGATGGTCATAACTCATGGAATACATCATCCTGTGAACCCCTTTGGTCAACCCTGAAGTGACATTTTCTGGACTAGATCTTGGCTGCTGCGACACGTTTTGGGCCTTGTAACCTACCTTTTTGAGGCAGGATTCCAGAAATTCAAGCCCAGTGCAGCCTTTAGACTTATCAGCCTAGAATACAAGTCTGAATTAAAGTGCTCGTACATCCTTTCCTCAATACGTCTGGCTATGTACACCGCTGTGCAATAAGCGACTACGTGTCTAATCTGGCCAACGGCCAGCTCGCTTTGCCAGTGGCTTGCTACCAAGTTTGGTGCTCGATGGCAACTCTCAAAGTCTTAAGCGACATGCCGCCAACTACGTCGCACAGATTTGTATGCGGCTGACCTTGCCCTGGCAACATATGGAGATACTTTCAACAAACATCTAATCTACTCTAAACCAAGACCTAAACACCATAGCAATATTTCCAGAAATGGATGCTTAAGCAAATCTCTATAAAACAGCCACTGCATTTAATATTTATAGGAGTGCCAAGCACACTGAAGTAACCAGTGGCAACACTGATACGACCCAACTTCTATTTGAGTGAAGCTGAACCATATGCTAACCGTACATGACCACCTAGAAAGGTAGTCAAAGACCAAAACATGTGTCCACTTGGTCCAGCAACTGGTAAGCAAACTAGAGCACCAGTGACTGATCTCACCAATGACCCTTGTGTTCTTTAGTGGAAATACTGTACCAGATGAGATAGACCTAATAATTTGCCTTCATGTCCAACTAAACACTGCAGTGCGGTTTATCACTAGTTTACCCATACACCATGGCTGCATTACTGTCACACCTATCCCACCTATCTGCTGCAACCTTCTGGGAAGTCGATCAAACAGTTGCCTTTTAGTACCTAACATCCCTCATTCCACGAAGTGTTACAAACTCTTTTGGACCAACGTGCTTCACCTTCAACAATGAGTTCCAGTTAAAGCTTGGAGCTGAACAGGCTTCAAAGCACCTGCAAATACCTTGTAAAAGGCCCAACCCAGAATATCCCTGAGTTTGATCTTCCACAACTATCCACCCAAACCATGACAGATGCGGATACCTGATACACAAATGGAAATATAAAAAAACTCCCATGTGGGACTGGTATTCAGAACACACGATGCAATGCCGATCCACAATTACAAATTAGACATTGCAGTCCACTCTGCTCCTCCTGCATTTGGCTGGCTTGACCACCCAAATGTGAAATTGTAGCTCCTCTGAATCTACATCAGCCATATCCCCCCCCCCCCCCCCCCCCCCCCCCCCCCCCCCCCCCCCCCCCCCCCCCCCCCACCCCCCCCCCCCCCCCCCCCCTTCTGTACATTAATACGCAGTTAGTCAACTTTCGATCCTGAAATCGGATCTCGAAGTCTACACAACTACATTTAGACGCATCTATAAACTTATTTGCGTAACAATACATGTGCATTCTCTACACCGACCTTTTCTATGTGCTTTTACTCAACTTTGATCCGTTTATCATATAAAATAAATGGTGTACCCATGCTGGAGAATTAAGTGATTTAATACAAACTTTAGGTGCTTTCGTGACTGCAGGAATTACTGTTTTTCGGTAAGTCGCGTAGAAATAATAACAAAATAAATTGTATAATAGCGTACGACGTTTCGATTGCAACAAGCGATCCTCATGTACAGAAGAGCTAAATTTAAGAGGAAACGCATAACCACAGATCTAGGCCTTAAGTAGAGGGAATTAACAGACACCAGGGGACACGGAGCACACCAAATCAAACGGGGTTCAGCAAAATTTGGAAACTCTATAAAGCACCACAGACGGTCGGTCAAAACACAACGCATGGTCTGGTAGATTTCGCTATTTCAAAGATTGCTAAATTGTAAGTTAAGTGTGAACTTTAAGAGTGTAACAGACTGTAAAGAGATATAGGGGGATAGACAGGCACACTGAAGAAATAAAGCCGCATCTCTGACGACACCTTAAATAGACAGACGCTGGGGCTCAGAGACAATGGAACAAAATTAGCATGAGAGCACAAAGGACGGTGCGGGTAGAGGGCAAGAGTTGTCACCTGGGCTGCGGAGGCTGTACGCAGCGCCCACTTGGAGACAAGAGGCATAAACACAGGCAGAGACAACACAGCAATACAAACACCAAGTCAAGCGACAAAGGCAGATACACCAGCAGAGAAACACAAAGACAGACTTCATACCTTCCCGTAAAGGTGGTTCGAACTTGATTAGGTGTTTTCGTGACTGCAAGAATTGTGGCGTATGCTATTAAATTTTATTTTTTATAATTTCTACGTGACTTTACCGAAAAAACCAAAGCATTTCTTGCAGTCACGAAAGCACCTAATCAAGTTCTAAATACCTTTATGGAAAGGTATGAAGTCGGTGTCTTTGTTTCTCTGCTGGTGTATCTGTCTTTGTCTTCACTTGGTGTTTGTATCGCTGTCTCTGCCTGTGTTTGTGCCTTGTGTCTCCAAGTGGGCGCTACGTGCAGCCCCACGTGACAACTCTTGTCCTCTATCCGCACCGTCTTTTGTGCTCTTCATGCTAATTTTTTGTCCCATTGTCCGAGCCCCAGCCCGACGTCTGTCTATTTAAGGCGTCGTCACAGAGATGCGGCTTTCTTCACTGTGTGCCTGTCTCTCCCATGTCTCTTTGCGGTCTGTTCTATCACTCTTAAATTTCACACCTTACAATTTAGCAATCTTTGAAATGGCGTAATCTACCAGACCATGCATTTAGTTGTGTTTTTAACCGACCGTCTGTGCTTTATATAGTTTCCAAATTTTGCTAAACTGTTTGATTTGGTGTGCTCCGTCTGTGCCCCCTGGTGTCTGTTAAATCCCTCCTTAACCGCAGATATATACAGACCTTGTGTTTCCTCTTAAATTTAGCTCTTCTGTACCTGATGATTGCTTGTGTTGCAATCGAAACGTCGTATGCTATTATATAACTTTATTTTTTTATGATTTCTACGTGACTTTACTGAAAAAAGTGATTTAATACAATTTTTCATATTATAACCATTTCATTAAATGTTTATGTATTAAGGGGATTCATTTGAAAAGAGACTTGTCAGCCAGTAACTGCAAGATGTGCTATTCACAATCTCACCTTCATGCCTTGTGAATAACGAGAATACTGTACAGGCATACCTCTGGGATATGAAATATATTCCTGCAGCTTCATGTACATAAAATAACCTGACTATATATTAATTTGCCTTTAATAAAACTCTAACATTTGGAAATTTGTTTTGGCATGCTGCGTCAGTTTCAGTTTAATGAATCAACCAATAGCTTGACAATACCCCTTTTGTGACCACTTGTCAACCCCCAAAACTGTCCATGATGACATATATTGTTCTTGGACCTAATTTAACCAATACCTTTCCCATTTGTTGCAGACAACTACCAGCAGGCCACTGAAGACTTCTTGCAATGTTTGGCTATTCAGCAGAAGTACCTGAAGCCAGACAGCCGACACCTGGCTGAAACCCACTACCAGCTGGGTATTGCCTACTCGCTGGAAAATAACTACTCTGCGGCTGTCAAGCACTTTTCCAGCTCCTTGAAGTGCATCAAAAAAAGGCTTGGTATGTTTTCCAGTAAAATTGATGAGTGACGGCTGGCTAAAACTATGACGGGTTTGTGCTTACACATCTGACTTCAAGAGTTTACAAGTCCACTTTGTAATCGTTCTCTAGCCTGCCAAAACTTAAATTTCTGCGCTTGGCCTAGGTAGGTACCCATTGTTATTTTATTTTTGCCTTTTAGTCACTAATTACTAAACAAATGTTTACTGTTTTGCACCAAAATTTTAGCTGGTGGTAGAGTTCTGGTTACAATCGCATGTCCTTTGTTTGGTTGCATGTATGGTCTACAGCTCTTCTTTCAGAAGGCCTCGAGGAAGTGGAGGCTGCACAGAAGACTCCAGAGGTAGAATTTGCTTTGGCCGAGGACCAGAAGGAAATTGTGGCTTTGAAGGAACTGTTGCCAGAGATACAGTCCAAAATCCTGGACTGTGAAGAGCTGCAGGACCAACCAGAAGTCTCAAAAGTCATTAAGGAATCCATGGTAATTGGTCTTGACATTTACATGTGGCACTATATGCAACTTTTGTCTAGCTTCTAGAAAGGTAATACTAAAATTCTGGGTAGCAATCTGGATTGTTAATCACATCAACGCAAATAGGCCACTGCCTCGTCTATAACAACAGTTTGCCCAAAGGTTTACCTTCCTACAGAGCTCTAGAAAGCCTTCCTTGCTGGAAATTAACCTGTAGTTAACATGACTTGCGTTTTACTTTATTAAATAGTTTACCGTTTGCATTCGCGCCACTTGCTGCTTGCAGGGATGTATTTAAGTGAGCTAACCATGGTAATATTCAGCTTGGTGTACCATGTTTTAACAGTTGTAGAATTTCACTTTTTGGGAAATGAGCACCATTTTTGGTACTAAAACCCTTTACTCATTTGCATGTATTCATCTTTTGCCGTACAATGTTCCCCCATTTTGAGTTTTGTAGGCTCAAGCAAACCTAACCACGGTTTCTGTATGCAGGATACGAAGTGCCCCAGAAACAATAACTAATGCTTATAAACGCACTCAAATTTGCGTCAAATGTTGGCCTCCACCTTTTGCTGAACTTAAACCTGCTTGGTTGTGACCACCAATTTCTAAATCCATACTTGTAAATCCCCGTGCATAATTTATTTGTACAAATGTTTTTTATCCTGTGCAGGTTGACTCTATGGAAGAAACCAAAACAATCGCATGTGAGGTGAAGGACATTTCTCACTTGGTGAAGAAAAAGGTGAAGCCACACCATTTTATACCCGACTAAATGAGCACTTGTAACTTTCAATAGCCTGGCGATTTGTATGAAACGGGTCATGGTTTACTTTTTCACTTGATATGCATTTAAATATCTGAACTGGCTTTCTGTCTGCAACATTTCAAGCTAAAACTTAACTCCCAGGTCTCCACCTCCCAATCATTGTAGCATTTTTATCTGCCTACCTTGTTGCACGTAAAAAAAATTGGGTCTGTAGTGTGCTCGTCCATGGATCCCTGCAGCTCACTTTTTTTTAGTTTAGAATAAACTATGGATACACTGCAGATATTTAAAATGTGTCAAGCCTTTCCTATTTTGGCTTAATATTTACATGATTGGCATGTTTAACTCGTCAATCTTATGACATTCGTCCACAAAATCCTAGCCAGTAATTTTTTATTTTTGCTTTGCCTTGGTGAATCTGTAATGCATAATGGACTTGGTTATGAATGATGCCAAAGCCTCTCTACGTACGTACATGCAATGTCATTGTCTTTCAGTAGTTCCCAACCGTTTGAATTTATACGGTCCTTTTCAACTTCCAAATAGTGGGCCACGTGCTGCTAGTTGTACAAGTTGCATATGCAACCCTAATGTAATAACGTAAATGATTTGCACGCCGTAATTTATTGTAACGTATACTTGGTGTAATTTAGCTCTGCATAGCAGTGGTGAGGACCGTATTCTTAAGTAACTTACTGGATGACATGGATGGTACTGTTTTGCTGACCTTCACTTTCAAACATGGCGACAAAACGCTGCCCCTTCTAGGATAATTGTGGTTGCCAGAACCTAATACAAAGCCTGCATTTGTAAGTTTTTTGTTTTGAAAACTGTTACATTTGAGTTCTATTCAGCCGTCTTGTGTGGTGTATGCATGGCACGCTGGCGGCAGACCAAGAAATAAAAACAATACTCTAAGCATACTTTTAAAATAAAATAGTTGTCGGTCTTTAGAAACGCTCTCCATTTTTAATTATAAATGTATTTGTAGAGGATGGTGTTATTCCCATTAACCCCCCCCCCCCCCCCCCCCCCCCCCCCCCCCGTAGTAGCTGTACAGACCACCAGGGGTCATTCCACAGGCATTGGTGTTAGTGGAGTTTTTTTAGAACGGTTCCAATGTCGTCTACCAGGGATACGGCTACATTTTGGATCTTGTGGAAATGTAAAATAATTTTCAAGTAGTTGTCAGGCTTATGGGACATGCCAATTGGATGGTGTCCTATTCACGAATTAAATTCCATTATCAGTTTCCCTTGTCTTTAAGGAGAGCACTCTATCAAGATATGTAATTTTCAGTTGACCATATCAATTGCTCGGAATAACCCCTGACACTAAATGGCTAACCTTTTGGCTAGAGCTGTATATAATTTTCAGATGGGCCACAGTGCCATTTAAATTACCCCTAAGCCTGCCCAGCTACCTGCCAGAAGTTGTATTTTACACTTCAAACGATACTGGCAGTGGGTCTTCATCCAGACCTGGGTTTTCGGCTTGCTGGTGTTAATTGCGTGCAATTGCTTTTTTTTAAGCCTGTGCAGTGTGGAAATTCAACTGAAGAAACTAAAAGCACTAAAGATGATGCGGAGGATATTTCCCAATTGGTGAAAAAGGTAATCTCAACCTTGTATAAGGAGCATTTCACTTTTGTATGGAAGCTGTTTACCTGTTTCCACATTAAAAAACGGAATGGAAACCATTACTCAATTTTGCTCTCTACAACGTACCTGCACATGCTTTCTCGTTTATTAATCTGCATTTTTGCCTTTGCTCTACTTATGCCCTTAACACTTCACTTCACTTACCTCCTTGGTCAATCTTTAAAATAAAATTTATGGTAAGTGCATTTCCTTACAGCAGGCGGCTTGTTGCCATACTAAATTTGTGGTCTGTATGCATATGTTACCTGGACTTGTGGAAACTTCAAGTTTATTCTTACAGAGGAAACTGGAAGGAGAGGATGCAGAGAACAACTCTGACACGAAGAAGCCAAAGCACACTGTAGCAGAAGATCATATAGATGGTGCAGAGGAGAACTTGTGCCCTAATATTCAGCTCGAAGTAAGAATTTTGACGTACATAGATGTGTGGGCTTGGGGGTAATTTAATGGCGCTCCACTTTTGGCTGCACATTCTATTTGGCAAATCTGTTTTTAAGCTCAATACTGGGCATTTCAATAACTCTTTGGGTGAACAGGTGGTACAATAGCAACACTTTGACACAACTGCAAAACCATATGCACAACAATCCATCCACTGACCCTGCATACATTGAAAGGCATGTGCAATAGGGAGCCCACAGCAAGTGCAAAACATGGCTGTCCATGAGTGGAAGCAGTTGCCTGTACCACAATATTAAATCTGTCAAGTTTGATCCTTAACAGAATTTCATTGATTTTGTTTATCAGGATGAATCGCAGGTGAAGGAGACTGCAATGGAAGTCGTGTAAACTCCACCAGGAAGAATTCAGCAGTCTGCTTGCTATGTTTGGTTTTTCCCAATTCGTGTTATAAGCGCTGACCAAGATGATGCACTTACCCTTTAAAGTATTTATGGCTAATTTTATTCTGCTTTCAATAAAGTTTGCATTTGTTAAAGACTTGTAGCTTGCATGCACGTTTGTGTGACAGAATTGCACTTTACATACCTGGTGGCATTTCCAATTGTTCAATCACTTATCCAAATCTAGTGTAAAATCGGTACTGCAATATAGTCCATGTTACTTCCATGGGAGTTTATGCTGTAGCTATTGAAGCAACCCAAACGTTTGGGGTGACTGCATGTAGTGCCATTTTTGAATTGAGGGAAATAAAACTGGTTGTACAGTTTCTCCTTCCCAAAGCACCTACCTAGACTTTCCCCTGCAATGATGTAGTATGGCAGGGTTCTCAGCCTTGGGTATGGTGGCACCAATTAAAGACCACAGTATCCCCTTCATCTCTAAATCCAAAGTTGCCACGAATGTGAAAACAAAAATTAAACACCAATACTTCATTTTAAACATACACTTCACCCGTGCAATGTTTAAAACATTGCAATATAACAATGCATCCGGAGTTCTGCTTCTGACCTTGCATGCAATTAGGTTGAAATGAACGGATTGGCATTTATATGGAGCTTTACATGGTGGCTTAACACTAATTTTAACTTAAAATACACTTTCGGTAAGTCACGCAGAAATTAATTGGAGTGACGTTTCAATTGCAACAAGCAACCGTCAGGTAGAACTAAATTTGAGACCGTAGACACGGACCCAATGCCTCTACCGAGGCATTAAAGACGGCGGTGGTGGGTCTGCCGAGGCAGCTGCTGGAGCAGAGAAATTGGCATGTCAATGAATCCACCCCGAAGCAACTTGGGGAAAAGATCGAATGACCCTACGAGAGCCTGGGTAATTTTAGAGTTTGACAAGAGATCTTTTGATGCAACAGACGGTTAACGCAGAGCCTAGTTGGTTACAATCTTCTAAGATTGCTAAATTTGCAGTTAAATTTGAAATTTGACTAGCATAACTTGCATCCACCGTAGAGGTGTGACAAACTTGATTTGGAAGCTTTCTTGACTGCAGGAATTACTCTACTCTTTTGGTTCTTTCGGTATAGTCGCGTAGAAAATGTAAATTGGACAATAGAGCACGTTTCGATTGCAACAACCAACCGTCAGGTTGAACAAAATTTGAGCGAGACGAAACGGTTCTGACGACTATTGCTTGTGTTGCACTCAACGTCGTACTCTATTTAATTAATTTTATTTCTGTGACTTTGCCGAAACGTCATTCCTGCAGTCACGAAAGCTTCTAATCAAGTTTATAAATACAATTTAAATCTTGGCAGGGTGGCGCGGTGGTAACGCGTGCCTTTTTTAAGACCCACTTTGGTTTGGTTCCGGACTGCCTTCTGTGTGTGGGGGCGGGGGGGGGTTCGTATGTTCTCCCCCAGTTCTGACTTGGGTTTTGTCCTGGGTTTCTCCTAGCTAAAACCTACCATCAGTCATGCTGAGCAATTGCCTGAAACTACACAATTGGCATCACAATGTTGCCCCATACAGCGACAACTTGGCAGGACCAGTCTGAAAATGTACTCGCCCTTCCCTGGGTGAACGGTGTAAATTGTCTTAGTGTAATTTTATTTAGGTTCAAGATGAGCGATGGCATGCAATGCATCACCCCCGTGAGAACACTCCGCAGAAGGTATTACGGTATTGCCTGTTGCAGTGGCCTACTTGGTGCAAACGGCAATTGGTGGCATAAACTTCACTTGCCACGGGGGGTCGGGGCTGAAGCGCAGATTCAAACCCAGGAACTCTGGTGCTGGCTCTGCTCTGATCCTAAAAACACCCGGCCGCCTCTAAAATGACGTAAGTAATTTTGTAAAGCCACCCTTCTACCGTGCGCTGTAACCATCTGAAAGCGTCACCCGAACCAGTTGGCAAGCACTCCAGCTCGCGCATGATAATTTGTTGGGAGGAGGGGGAATTACCCTCGCTCAATCGTATTTGAAGGGCGCATTAACAACACGCGTTGTGAACCTAACAATAGAATACACCGGCTTCCCATGTGTATATGCACCCCAAAAAGGCTGCGCCAAATGTGTACAAAATTATATTGAATAACTTTGGGAGACACGAAGCACGCATTGCGTATTAATGTTATCCATGAACACCATCGCTCAACCAGTGTTTAAAGTAAAGGCAAAACAAATTGCATTTTTTTCAACGATATCCAGCACATGTAGAAGACCTCGTCAAATGATCCCTGCGCCACGAAAACTAAGCAACAAAGCACGCCACCACAACACGTTTCTAAATCTCCCAACCTGCCGCTCAAGTATTCGGGCATATGGTCATGGAAGAACATTCTTAATCTAGCGCTGCCTTAAAATAGGTAATGAGGCTAACGGAGGAGTCCAGCTGGATAAATGCTTTTAGGTCGATTAATCCGTGTAATCATCGTCCACGTGGCCTGTGTGGTAAAACACACTTGTGCTTGAAATCCTTTGATTCTGTCATTCAGTTTGCCGAGCAAGATGAGCGATTAGAAGACGGAACGCAATGCGTCCCATGTAAATGTGCTGCCCGATGTCCACTAACTTTGCTGCGTGAACACATTTGAGTCCACACGCGTGTGCAATTCCTAACCGAGTCCTTCCAAGCAGACTGTACAATGCCATCATTCCTATAAGTCTCTACTTGAGTTACGTTGGGTGGGAAATTTTCTTTTACATACCCCAAGGACATCGAAACAGCAGCAACAGGGCACGGCAATGGCTTGGTGTTTGGGCAAGGGGATGACCACGTCGACACGAAGAAAGGTGCTCCGGCGTGCGACCACAGCCGACGCGGCGATGAACGAGACGCCGTGCCAGGCGCGCTTGCAGTGCGTGCGCGCCTGGAGCTCCTTGAACAACATCCCGTCGGCGTCGGCCTCGCTGTCGTCTCCCCACTGCGGGCCCACCCTCGTCACGCAGGGCGAGCCCATCCTGCACCTCAACATCGGCGGCACCAAGTTCAGGATCGCGCGCTGCGTCCTCGCGCGCCACCCGAAGACGCGGCTCGGCCGCCTCGCCAAGCCTGAGCTGAGCTCCTCGGAGCGCATTGACGTCTGCGACGACTACGCGGCGGCCACCCGCGAGTACTTCTTTGACCGCGACCCCGAGGTGTTCCGCCTCGTGTTCACCTACTACCGCACGGGCGTGCTGTGGGTAAGCGACGAGCTGTGTCCAATCAACTACGTGGAGGAGATCCAATACTGGGGGCTGCAGGTGCGTCACACAAACCACTGCTGTCGCATCGTGTTCGAGGAGCGCCAGAGCGAGATGGAGGACAACCTGAAGGTGCAGCAGGAGCTGGAGGACGAGTTTGTGACCGAGGCGAAGGAAGAGCATTTCCAGGTGAGGAGATAAGAGCAAGTGACGTTGCGACCATTGCTAGAGTCCTGCAATACAATGTACAGCTTTGGTTCTATGGTGTCGATGTATTGATGGTCAAAAGTCACGAACACCTGCGCCACACCAGTGGCTGTGGTTATTGCAAATCGAACATTGTGTTCACACAACGTTGACGACCAATCACTCCCATGTGTCTTTGGTGATTAAACAAAGTCGGGTGTCATGAATCGTGGTGTACAACAGCCATTGTCTTTTAGGAAGGTTCAGGAGCGTACAACAATACCAAATAACGGCTTGTATAGCGCCTGATTAGTCATGTGGCAGGTATTGATGCAACGTAGATCGGCCGAAGAAGGGTGTGAGGTTCGGCAAGGAAGCATTTTCATTCACAACTTGAAATGTGTAATTGATTTAAAACCATTAGTCCTCTTAATGACTAATATTATTAATAAAGTATTGTGACTTGCAGTGTTGTGGTAGCACACACTGGATCGGAGAAAACAGTCTGATAGACCGAGTTCACATCAACGTTGGTGGAGATTTTGATTTAAAGTTTTCGTGACTGCAGGGATTCATATTCTTGGTTCTTTCGATAAAGTTACGTAGAAGGGAAACAAAATAATAAAAATATAAAACAATAAAATTCTCACGATGTTTCGACTGCAACACAAGCAATCATCATCAGGTGTGAAAACCACAGCAAGAAAATTTGAAAAAGTGGCGTTTTTTTAACGTTAGCACCACGGAGAGCGATTTGGCAGTTATTCAGGTGGACGAGTCCATCTATGTTCGGAAAAGAGGAGGGGGAAGACGAAAATAATGGATGCGGTTTGAAAGCCACCATAAGCGTGAACAATCAATTAAGACCCTACATGGTTTATAACATCCTTCAAATGATTGCTAGGCCAGAATCCATCTTCTCGGTTGAAATTGTCTCTGTGTTTGTATATGTGGATAGCCTCATGACAGAGGTCCTTTGCAAGCCATCTGGCTACCATGAGAGATTCGTTCATGAGGCTATCCACATACAAACACAGAGACAATTTCAACCGAGAAGATGGATTCTGGCTAAGCAATCAACTGGAAAGATTTGATAAACCATTTCGGGTCTTAATTGATTGTTCACGCTGACGGTGGCTTTCAGACCGCATCCATTATTTTCGTCTCCCCTCTCCTCTTTTCCAAACATAGATGGACTCGTCCATCTAAACAAACTTGTCAAATCGCTCTCCGTGGTGCTAATGTTAAAAATAAACGCCACTTATTTCAAATTTTCTTGCTATGGGTTTCACACCTGATGATTGCTTGTGTTGCAGTCGAAACGTTGTGAGAATTTTATTGTTTTATATTTTTATTATTTTATTGCTTCCCTTCTACGTGACTTTACCGAAAGAACCAAGAATATTGGTGGAGATATCAAATTGGAGTTAACGGGAACCATGACCGTGATAGCAATAGAAGAGTGATAAGGAGGTGACTGACCTTTGGGCAAGGTTAAGAATTATTGGCAGGGCTCTGCCTTCGTTGATTTCAGGTCAGGGGCTCATATAATGTAAACGTTCTCGAGACAAAACAAAGACTCTTGAGTCCGTTTCTGTACAGTGGACATTGTTGACAAGGGGTCGATGATCAAATGTAGACCGGAATACACCGCATCTTATCAGATCGGGAGCTAAGCCGGATTGAGCCTAAATAGCATTTCGGATGGGCGCTCACCATACCTAACGTGGTGTTATAGCGCCTGCAGCTATATTATGGGCAGCGGAGGGCTTTGCAGAAAAATACAATGTTGTACTTCACTTCTATGCACAAACTGCACCGACCAAACGTGGTGAAGTATGGTCAATACAATACCTATGATTTGCACAATATTACGAGGCCTTTATCCAGCTGTCGATTGACAACGGGCTGTGTGTACTTGTTTACAAAGGGGGAGGGGTGATGGAGACATGAGCACACTGCACTACGAAGCCAGTGTCCTCGGTTTGAGCCCCGGCCACAGCAAGCATCGGTGGCGTGTGATATCTGAACCAGTCCTACTCCTCTCTCCGAACTAACCAGCACTCATCAGCGTTGCGAAGCATGGTAAACAAAACAAATCCCCCGAATATCTATAGTGTGGGGAGATCTCCACAAGGACATGTGAATGATAATTATTTTTGCATTCACACTTGTCTAACCATATAGACTGGCAGCACAGCCGCTGTTAGCAAGTGCCGACTAAGACCATTGTGGCATTAGTAGCTTCGGTTGGCACGGGGCTCCTGTCCACCTTCCCTCTATCTAGCCCGGTGCCTGTCGTCCCCCCCCCCTGACCCGTTGACCCCTGTGCAGTTGCACCGCCTGCACACTCGACAGCTAGGCCACTACATTGGCACACAATGAAGCGGTGAGAGCTGCTAAGAGTACATGGTTTCAAAGAACCAACTTGCATATTAGACCGGCATCTGGGGCAGGTCCAGACCAGAATTAAACACCAACTGCCACGTTTTACGTGTGGATTTAGCTCTGGTTGCTGCGAGCGTAATCACAGTGCACCGATTACCATACACTACACGTAGGATTGCCACCTTAGATACAGAATGGGAAGAGGAAATAATTTCACAATCGAGGCAGAGGAGAGAACTACACCATAAATGCACCGTCTCGAGCAGTGCATTTATTGTTATTATGCAACTAACAATACCCAGAACTTTTAATGTCCTGGGAAGACTTATAGATTTCCCAGGATGGCTACTTCCAACCAGAGGAAAATCCTGGAAAACCCAGGACAAGTGGCAACCCTAACTGCATGTGTGTGACCGAGGACATACAAAACATCCACATGTACAGCAACTTGACACAAAGTTGTGAAATGTACAGCAGGAAGTAATCTCCGCCATGGTGCATTCAATATCAGCAGCTGTGGCATCTGGCAGAGAATACAGAGCACTGGTGAGCTGTGGTGGTGGTGGTATCCATGGCTTTGGCCACGATGACATATTGGTCTTTATTAATCTTCACAATAAAAAAAGTTATTTACATTTCCATCCCTTTGTCAATCAAGTGCTGGATAAAGGCCTCCCCATGCCGAGTTGTTTTATGGGAGGGGTTCTTTGTCCACACTTCACCACGCTGGTCAGTGCGAGTTGGTGAAGGGGGGTATCCAGGAACCATTCAGATAGCACTCGCCACTGATGTAAGCCGTGGCGGGAAACTGCTAACTTTATAGCTCGGTGCGCTTAACCGCTCCCACATTCATTACGTTACCCACATGAAAGCAAATTAGAGGCCGACCGAAATTCGGTTTTGGCGCCGAAAGTTGGCAAATGGCCTCTATCGGCATATTTTCGGTTTCGGCCGAAAGTCAATTTTTTACTTTCGGTCTGGTTTCGTTTTCGGCCGAAACCAGAAATTCAGTTTCGGTCGGCCTCTAAACTACACGCGCGCGCGCATGCGACTCCGGGCAGCAGCGGCGGTGGTTGATGGCAGACGCTCCTCGCTCTCTCCGGTGATCGCAAACAGCGCACACACGCACACTCGAGCAAGGATGGGGGTGAGAGTGGTGGGGGGGGGGGGAATAAGACAGACGACGGAGAAGAATAAGAAAAAAATAACTCCCCCCCCCACCCACCCAAAACCACCAAACTAGCGAGCAGCACACGCGTAGCCAGCACTCGCAGCAGCAGCACTCGCAGCAGCAGCAGTCCACCAGGAGCACTTTTGTTTGAGCGGCTCAGAGGCTGGGCTCTCGCAGGCAGCTCGAGGCACGCACCACACACACGCGGGCGCACGCACAGCACACTAAGCCGATTAGAGCAGCGTGCTGCTGCCAACAGTGTGCATACGCGCGCGCGCACACTAACTCATCCGCCCGCCAGCCACACAACAACCCACCCACCCCTCTAATGATCCAATTCAATCCTCCCACCACCCCATCCCACCCCACGTCCTCCTCCTCCACATGGGTTCCACATAGCAGGAGGGGGCTTGGGTGTGCGTGCGAGTCTGTGACGCGTCTCGAGGCCGACCGAAATTCGGTTTCGGTATCGGCGCCAAAAGTTGGCAAATGCCCTCTTTCAGCATAGTTTCTGTTTCAGTTTCGGTCGGCCTCTAAAGCAAATAATGCATATTGTATTCTATTAGACAGCGCTTGACATTAACCGCTCACAGCACCAAATGCCCAGTATAAGTTTAATGAACTAAAATGCAAACTAACAGTCTATATTGTTTCACTCTCTCCAATTAAGGTTAAAAGTGTTATTGCATTAGCTCTGTCCCATCTTTAACAAGGCGCAATGATGAGAATTGTTGCAAACATGACTAAATATAAATACGATTAGTATAATGTCGTGCTGCTAATAGAGACTTGCCCTACAAAAAAACAAATGAATGTATGAAAGGATTTTCTCAGAACAGCGACAAATAACTAGCACTGAAACGATAACCCTTGTCATCCAATGGCTGTGTGCTATCATCTCATTGTGTAGTTTGAGAGGTAACGCTACTATCGGTAATTAAACATCCACGAGGACCAACTCGTGTTCGAAAGTTTACAGAATCTTTGCGTGTGCGTGCATTTTTTTCTTTCTCGTTTGATCACTTCCAGGACATGTGCTTTGGGCGACAGAGACTCATCGTGTGGCATTTCATGGAGGACCCTTTCTCGTCCATCTTTGCCAAGATCATGGCGGTGGCCTCCAGCCTCTTCGTGCTCATCTCTATCGTGGGCATGAGCCTCAACACGGTGGAGGAAATGCACTCCAAGACGCCAAGCAGAGGGGAGAAGACCTCTCTGGAGATTCTGGAGACCATATGCGTCGGGTTCTTCACGCTTGAGTACCTCCTACGGCTGATCTCCACCCCTGACATCCGGGGCTTCCTCAAGGCGGTGAGCAACGGCCTCGATCTCATCGCCATCCTGCCCTTCTACATCCACTTAATGTTCGAAGAGCTCGTGGCCGAGGGGGACCACACGTATGATGGCGAGGTGAAGGCGGTGGACCGCGTCGGCAAGATGGGCCAGTTGATGAGGATCATGAGGCTCATGCGGATCCTCCGCATCCTCAAGCTCGCCCGGCACTCCACGGGGCTGCGCACCTTCGGTTTTACGCTGCGCAAGTGCTACCAGCAGGTGCGACGCAGGAAAGGCTCATCGACTGGGTCTCAAGTTTCTTTGTCAGGTTTTTTTGCAGTCGGGGGCGATGTTGCCCACATGTAATATCAATCGAGTAACTTTGTGGGTAATATTTTAGCATTGGGATGTGTTTTTCGCAAATACCAGCTACATTGCGTGGGGTTTTTTTAGCTACCAGAGGAAACTCGTATAGGACAGGGGGAGAGCATGCACACTCCACACAGAAAGGCGCCCAAGTCGCGAATAATACACAGAACCTTGTTGTGAAACATGGGTGTGTTACCACTACACTGCCACCTTACCGATCTCATATTGATCAAATATTGCACAGATGTTTCTGTTACAATGGATTTTATCGTCACTTACAGATTTGGCGATCTGATATTATTTGTTGAATGCACACGACCACGCGGCGTCTAGAGCGTCTGTAGATATGTACTTGTACTGTGCAATGCACTGCAGCTTCAGTGACACGTGTATGCTAGTCTGGGCATAAACAGCACTCTCCATATACATAACAGTTATTGACTTATATAATGGTGGGGCACCTTCCTAGGATAATATATAGGTTCTGCAGTCTTTGTCCATGCTTTTCTCAAATATTTTCTACTTTGTGGGCTCGTTTAGAGCTCGCGTAGTGCAATGGTTCGTCCACTGGACTCACAATCCAACGGTTGCTAGTTCGATCTCCCAGCACATCAGTTAAAAACATGGTGTACGTTGATTAAATCCCCCGATTCTGTCCACCAAGTAGCATACATCGGTACACCGTTGTTGGTATGTGGTGGAGTAAGTGTGAGTACTCTCATCTCTTCTAAGACGTCTGACCAGCATGGAAGAGGAGGCCAAATACAATGTAGAGCCGGGCAGTGGTGTAATGCGCCTGTAATCCAGGTTTGTGGAGGTGAGGGTTGATGGATCGCACAAATGTTGTGAAACTCCCTTCTTATTGGCGTCGAGGTGCCATACCCTGGCTTTCCGGAAAAAAGCGGTACAACAAAATGTGGACCGCACTTGCTCTGCCTGTATGGGACCACGTGTTTCCCCCTCGCATGCAATGGGTTTTCTCCGGGTACTCTGATTTTCTTCCACATGTAAATACACAATAGTTTGCTGATAGTGCGTTAACATCCAGAGCGTTGGTTTACTGTTAGAGGAGCTGTTTAGAGGTATCTCTTGTGGTGGCGCGAGCAAGCATCTGCAGGGCTGCACCTTTACGATTGCTCCGCAGGTGGGGTGCCTCTTCCTGTTCATTGCGATGGGCATCTTCACCTTCTCGGCGCTCGTCTACTCGGTGGAGCACGACGTGCAGGGCACCAACTTCACGAGCATCCCGCACGCCTGGTGGTGGGCCACGGTAGGCCCCCTGCACGGACAGTCCCCCCCGCCGCTCGCCACCCTCGCCCCAACCCCTTCCCCCCCCCCCCCCTCAGGGCGCACGTGCCCCACTCGTGAATAAAGAACAATGGAACAAAAAAGCCTTAACAATATTTACCTGTCACAAAAGTATCACATGTCACATAAATTCAACACATTCGTCAATACTACGGTGGCCTTCATAGCACATGTGATATGAAGAGCCATTGCCCGAAACGTCGTCTGTTATGCATGTTTCGTTTTAAGGCCACAGTGTTATTAACGAATGAGTTGAGGTTATTTTTCATGTTTCTGCTCGCGCACCACTGCTATCACAGCATCACAAAATAAGATGTTTGACCTCCTCGCATCAGAGATTACTAACTGCATATAGCCCCTCCTCCTCTCCCAACTTGCTCCACTACCCCTCCCCCCATGCCCTTGCGCTAATTCTGGAAACACGGTGCCCTTGAACGTCTCGTTCGCATGCTCTCCCGCTGCTGCGGTTCTCTCTTATTTGTGTGCATTTTCTTTATTTTGCGAATGAATGAAATATATTTTCATTTTTCAAACCAGTTAGAACATTTTGGCCGCAGCCAGTGAACCTCAGGCTTTCACCTCTGCGTTAAAATGATGGAAAGATGCGCAATGTTACGTCAATTATAATTATGTTATTGACTATGAATAAAATATGATGGGCGTTAATTGAATGTCAATACATTTTCAATTGAGTAATTATGCATCGTTTAAAATGTTACAGTATGCCAGACATCCAACATAACTGGAAAAGCTCATACCCTGATTAATCCGGCTTTGACAGGTTTTACTGTACATCTAAAATAAACTCTGTTAAGACGGCATATATTCCCGTATCGATTTGAAAGGTTTGTATACATTACTCTGTTTCAATTGACACCCTGGACACCTTCGTAGACGAGGTGCTCCATTACAAGAGACTGTCTGGGTGAACTATTGTAAGAAGTGAAGATAAACGTCTTGCAATGACATAAAAAAGCCACACACGGAAAGGTGCCCGAGTTGGGACTCAAACCCAGGCTATTCTTTCTGCGGAGCACTGTTAGTGCGCAGGCAGTGGATACGTAAAACTGAAAATGGATGCGTCGGTGTGAACGTGGCACATGCAGGTGGCCATCTCCACGGTGGGCTACGGGGACATGTACCCCGAGTCGTTCCTGGGCCAGTTCTTCGCTTTTGGCTGCATCTCCTTCGGCATCATCCTCAACGGCCTGCCCATCTCCATCCTCTTCAACAAGTTCTCCGACTACTACGCCAAGCTCAAGATGCAGGAGTACCGGCTCAAGCAGCGGGGCAAGATTGACTTGAAGCGACGGGTCCGGCGCAAGATCACTCATATCCTCAACAATGCGGATGGTGTGCATGGCCACGGCATTTGATTCAACTGCGCCGTCCGGCAAAATAATTCAAGAAGTGCAATCTTACTCGGTTGCATGCACATATATTTTTTTATATATATGAAGTACAAATTTAAAAATTGCATTGCCGTCTTCCAACGCCGATCCACAGAATGCTGTTTTCACGAGCTTCATGCTGCCTCGACAAGATTGGCAATGCAATCCCCGACCGTGTTATGTTCTGACCTGACACGTTGGGGAGCTGCCACTAATTTGTTGGGAATAAGTCCTCGGTGGCACCGTTTCCAAGTCTGAACTCCACTGTAATTGGGAGTTTAACTTTGACCGCATCATCCTAGTGTAGAGGTTTGGAAATGTATTATTGGATATATTTGTCAGGAGGAACACAAACAGAGGGGATGCATTGGATAGCAAGATGCTATTTGTACAAACTCATGAGAGTGGTGAGGTATGTTAAGGTGCACTAACCTCGGGGGTGGGGGGGGGAAGAAATGACCAGTTTAGCCAAGTTTGAGTAATGTTTTACACTGTTAAACACCACAGCAGCACAAATTAAGATCTTCAAATGATTGTAAGTTATCAAGCTGCTGCTTCAGTGGAGCCATTCATATTATTTAGCTATGTATTGTATACTTTTTCAGTTAAATGGGACCCATATCGTAGAGAGAGGGGCCTTGCTTGTTAAATTATGTTTACAGACAATGATTCAAGAGCCTGATGTTGCTGAAGAAATACTTTCTCAAAACTGGTCCAGAGTTTGCTTGTCTTGAATCATTGTTGCTGATATAATGCACTCTCAGAAGGTCGTGCTGCTGATGGGTTGTGTAAGCAAGACCTTAAAACACAATTACGTGGAGACGGATATATAAAAGATACATGTTATCTGCTCATCTAAGTTGTTCGTAAAATAACAGGTTAATAAAAAAAAAATTCAGGTTTTTTTTACTGAATATCTCGATGTTACCAGAATTTTTTCCCGCAATAATTTTTCGTCTTAATTAACCTGTTACTGATCATAGTGGTACGATATTGGCGTATTATGATTGTAATATTGCAGTTGCTAGGTGATTTTAGTTTTCCGTACCTTTGTCAGCTGGCTGAGACTTTCTACATACGCGTCATGTCATACTTGGGGGTCTATAGATCAATAGTGGCCAATTGCAGGTCGAGTGACATGTACAAAACATAACGATGCTGCATTTGTAATACACTGACGGATGGAGAATATTGCAATTCTGCATATGAAGAATAACGGTAAGTGACCCACAAGTATGGAATGCTAATTCAAATTAATCATGGATCTGCCTAACTCCAATGATAACATAAAAAGGTAAAGATGCGGCCATGCAATTTCCTGCTCATGCCGCTGTTTGCTGATGGCCTCCACTCGATGGGCTCTCTAGAGCTCCCTCTAGAGAGTATTTGACCCACTCTTCCATGCTGGCCAGAAGCATTGAAAGGTGGGAGTATCCACACTTTTAAACCACCACGCGGTACCTGCCGATCGACCGTTACCGAAACTTGGGTATGTTCCGACTCGCCAGACGTAATGACGCGTGAGGCTGCACCTAACGGATAGGTAATTGTGCATCGGCATCATCGCGTGAAGCCTGGCACCGGCAGCACGCATGGTGGTGGGATCGCACTTTTTCACCGTGAAGACACCTGTGTGAAAGTCCTGAACGACTCCTTAATAATAATGCCATTCGAGCTGCTGCTTGTAATAAGTGATATTTAATAAAAACATTTTTTAAACGCTTTAATGAAATGTACCGTACTAGCAATGGAAGAACTCCACGACTCCAAGAAGTGGCCCCGAAGCTTGCCATAACGTAAGGGACCGTGGTCATTTACAGCCAACGTCAGTTTACCGTGAACAATTAGAGGCAAGTCGAAACATAAAATATAAAAAAAAATATTCTTGGTTCTTTCGGTAAAGTCACTTAGAAGGGAAACAATAAAATAATAAAAATATAAAACAATACAATTCTCACAACGTTTCGACTGCAACACAAGCAATCATCATCAGGTGTGAAACCACGTCAAGAATTATTTTTAAAAGTGGCGGTTTTCACACCTGATGATGATTACTTGTGTTGCAGTCGAAACGTCGTGAGAATTTTGTTGTTCTATATTTTTATTATTTTATTGTTTCCTTTCTACGTGACTTTAACGAAAGAACCAAGAATATGAATCCCTGCAGTCACGAAAGCTTTAAATAAAAAAATGTTTTAAAATGTTTTATTTTTTATGATAGAATATAGTAGTGTTTCAATTTGAAGCTTTCGTGACTGCAAGGATTCATCTTCTTTGGTTCTTTCGGTAAAGTCACGTAGAATGAGAATAAAATAATAAAATAACACAAAATTCTCACGACGTTTCGGCCGCAAGATGGCCGCTTGCGTTGTGGCCGAAACGTCGTGAGAATTTTATTGTGTTTATTATTTTATTCTCATTCTACGTGACTTTACCGAAAGAACCAAAGAAGATATAGTAGTGTTATCAGTATGACATAAGTATACCAAGTTTGCAGTCGATACCACATTGGGAAGTGGGTAAAAAATAATTGTTGGAAGATTTGAGGATACAACAACAACAGTGAGATAATAAAAAGCGTGTAATAATAAAAATAACGAACCGCATGCGGTCGCTTACGATTGTGGTCATCTGCTGCCCGCCGACTTCACCGCTGTCGGAGTTCTTTTCCGATCAGTACCTGGCTCTTTCCGGTTTGCTATCGCTGTGAAGCAGACGCAGAGGAGGCTGGAGCATCTTTGGAAGTGAACTGATTTCGAGACTCTCCAACTCGCTTCCATAGACGCCTGCAGACCTGCCAACCGACTAGTTATGAGTCTTGCAGATGATTCTATGCTCTTCCCTTCATTCAGTTGCCGCATGACCCCATGCAATGTGGTGTGTCGTGAATGGTCTGCTGCACTCCAACCACCCATCAACTAGTAAACTCGGTCTGTGCATAGAAGCTACGAAGGTCTTCGCCAATAACATAGTGACGGTCAAGACGTAAGTTTCAAACTTGAAGGCAACGCATTCTCCCGGTCTGCCATCTGAGTTTGATCAACCTGGAACCAACGGAAAACATGAGACCCTGGCACCAACGCCCGTGGCAGAAGTGTTGATGTTAATCACACAGCTGCTAAATAATACAGAGCTGCTTAACTACATCCACACGTCGATTCTCAAATCATGCTTCAGCATGATTGCCCTGCTGATTGTCCACCTGGCAAATCTTTCGTTCAGTGAGGGCTGTGTCCCAGACTGGTTCAAAATGTCACAGATAACCACTCCTGAAAAAAGTCGGCTTGAGCCATTTTTGACCCTGCAAACTATCTCCCGATCTCAAACCTGAGGACAATTTCAAAGATCATACAGCGCCTTTGTCCGAAGAAATTACTTCCCCACGTCGCTTCGATGGGCAGATGCCACCCATTGCAGTTGGCATACTAGAAGTTCCACACTAAGATGGCTCCATTAAAGATCACGAATGACCTATATAACATCATAGATGACCGGTGTGCCGCAGTGTTGGTTGGCCTCGATTAGCACGGTTGGCTACGTGTGGTGTGAAAGAGTTCGACATATATTCATCGAACGTTTATGCCACTGAGTGGACAGAGGCAGGGGATTTAAGATATGTATATTATTCAACTGTCACGCCTGGAGATTGAATGGAACTGGTAACCTCTGGATTTTGAGTTCTCTAGATTACCACTCCAGTGTACAGACCATTACATCATGGCAGCATCAAAAGCCTAATGAGTAAATTTGAAATCACAATCTTCAGATTGTGAGTCATTTGTTTAAACCACTGCACTTGATCATGAAGTATTTCTGGAGCACAATAAAAGTAAACTCTTCTTGCAAATTCTGTAAATAAAACAAGACATACCTTATGGAACGATGTGTGTGGAGGTTAGACTGTGGCAAATCTTGACTTCTGTAAAGTTCTTACATACGGGAAGATTTTAGTTTCACAACTTTTTCAGGTGAAATTCTGTATTGGGTCCATTTTTATATATATGCACACACACAAAGTAGTTTACCGCATTGGAGTGCATACGAGTCCTAGATGAAATGTAACCAAACACTCAGAAAAACATCTTACTATGAAATACATAGCTTGACATCGAGGATCGTTTATGAAGCCAGGTCTCGGGTAATAGCCTCCCAAAGAGGATGTCACGAAGCGAGACTAGAGCTTCGTCAAATGTAACGTATTTCTTATGGGGTTTCAATCCAACACGTCTTCGTCATCAGCCATGATCTATCCACTGCTGGATCGATTCATCCCCAACCAGTCAACATCTTTAATGGGCTTGTGATGCGACAATCGTCTGTCTCCTCTAAACGAGCTGATGTATTGCTCCATCTCCGTGACGAATGCCCTCTTGGATGCGCTCGCTAATATGGCTGCAACATTCATATGCAGATAAATAATGCATATCCAAGTTTATATTTTCTGGTTGGATTCTAATCGGAAAAATGTATGTCTGTATCATTGGTAGCCCCTTGGGGTTCGAAGATGACGTCGATTGGGTTTGGTGCTGGCTCTTGAGGTGGCTGAGGAGTCCAATTCTGGATCGGCAGATCCTTGGGCATTGGGGGCACGCGGTCCCAGGTGGTCCTTTTCCTGTGTTTTCTTGTGGTGATACAAGATGGATAGAAACTCACATATCCCAGTTTGTAAAGTGACTGCATTCCAGATGCGAGTTGGCTGTTTCGTCACAAACTGCTTTGTAATGTGACGAGGTAGAGACTGTTGAGTGTGCACATGTACAGTGAGGGGAAAAAGTATTTGATCCCCTGCTGATTTTGTACGTTTGCCCACTGACAAAGAAATGATCAGTCTATAATTTTAATGGTAGGTTTATTTGAACAGTGAGAGACAGAATAACAACAACAAAATCCAGAAAAACGCATGTCACAAATGTTATAAATTGATTTGAATTTTAATAAGGGAAATAAGTATTTGACCCCTCTGCAAAACATGACTTAGTACTTGGTCGCAAAACCCTTGTTGGCAATCACATAAGTCAGACGTTTCTTGTAGTTGGCCACCAGGTTTGCACTTACCTCAGGAGGGATTTTGTCCCACTCCTCTTTGCATATCTTCTCCAAGTTATTAAGATTTCGAGGCTGACGTTTGGTAACTCGAACCTTCAGCTCCCTCTACAGATCTTCTATGGGATTAAGGTCTGGAGACTGGCTAGGCCACTCCAGGACCTTAATGTGCTTCTTCTTGAGCAACTCCCTTGTTGCCTTGGCCGTGTGTTTTGGGTCATTGTCATGCTGGAATACCCATCCACGACCCATTTTCAATGCCCTGGCTGAGGGAAGGAGGTTCTCACCCAAGATTTGATGGCACATGGCCCCGTCCATCGTCCCTTTGATGCGGTGAAGTTGTCCTGTCTCCTTAGCAGAAAAACACCCCCAAAGCATGTTTCCACCTCCATGTTTGATGGTGGGTATGGTGTTCTTGGGGTCATAGGCAGCATTCCTCCTCATCCAAACACGGTGAGTTGAGTTGATGCCAAAGAGTTCCATTTTGGTCTCATCTGACCACAACACTTTCACCCAGTTGTCCTCTGAATCATTCAGATGTTCATTGGCAAACTTCAGACGGGCATGTATATGTGCTTTCTTGAGCAGGGGGACCTTGCGGGCGCTGCAGGATTTCAGTCCTTCACGGCGTAGTGTGTTACCAATTGTTTTCTTGGTGACTATGGTCCCAGCTGCCTTGAGATCATTGACAAGATCTTCTCGTGTAGTTCTGGGCTGATTCCTCACCGTTCTCATGATCATTGCAACTCCACGAGGTGAGATATTGCATGGAGCCCCAGGCCGAGGGAGATTGACAGTTCTTTTGTGTTTCTTCCATTTGCGAATAATCGCACCAACTGTTGTCACCTTCTCACCAAGCTGCTTGGCAATGGTCTTGTAGCCCATTCCAGACTTGAGTAGGTCTACAATCTTGTCCCTGACATCCTTGGAGAGCTTTCGTCTTGGCCATGGTGGAGAGTTTGGAATCTGATTGCTTCTGTGGACAGGTGTCTTTTATACAGGTAACAAGCTGAGATTAGGAGCACTCCCTTTAAGAGTGTGCTCCTAATCTCAGCTCGTTACCTGTATAAAAGCCACCTGGGAGCCAGAAATCTTTCTGATTGAGAGGGGGTCAAATACTTATGTCCCTCATTAAATGCAAATCAATTTATAGCATTTTTGACATGCGTTTTTCTGGATTTTGTTGTTGTTATTCTGTCTCCCACTGTTCAAATAAACCTACCATTACAATTATAGACTGACCATTTCTTTGTCAGTTGTCAAACGTACAAAATCAGCAGGGGATCAAATACTGTTTTCCCTCACTGTAGGCCAGGATCCACATACCCAACGCAGCCATGACAGTTGCATGAGTTGCAGTCCTGAAACTCACCTTGGCACCAGGACGAGGGGGGGGGGGCGATGCCACACCTAGTTCCAAACAATTATGAAATTATCACTTGTAACCTTCTTCAGCTAGCCGAGACCAGGCTATTGTGGGTTTGAGTGGGGTCCCAAATGGACGATTTCCACCACGGTTGAAGTAAGGCAAGCGCTTCGCACAGATGGCAAGTCGGTGGGCAGTGGGAAGATGAGCTCCACAGTACGTCCTGGTGTCAAGGACATGGGCCCACATTCGTTGTTCTGTCACTACGTAGTCCAGCAGATGATCCGGTGTGCATCCATGATCTTGTGTGGATGTGCTGATGCTGGAACAGCGTGTTGGTTATTACCAGCCCATTGGCTGCACATAAGTCAAGCAGTCTCTTACCGTTGTTAATGAGCTGACTTGGTCCATGCCTTCCAATCACTACAGCCCAAGTGCCCACGTCATGACACACTCAGGCATTACAATCACTGAACAAAATCACTCTAGCCAGCACCTGGGACAGATCACAGAAGGCACCTGACTCATCAGCCTTGTCTGCATTCCTCCACTGATGTTTATCTTGTGGGTGTGTAAACCACACTCACAACTCCATGCCTCCTGTTGATGGAGAGGCGAGTCATTATTTTCTTCAGAAGAAGTGCAATTCCAAGTTGTTTGGCAGTTTCCTACCCTGAGTGAAGAGCTGTCCATCCCTCATTGTGAATGGAGCCAAAACCAATCCACTGGACCTCCTGTATACTAGAGGTCCAGGCGGTACCGGTCTAACTCAAAACGAGGAAGCCTCTCCTCCACAGTGAACATTTGGACATTCCACGTGGCAAACCTCAGTTTTGCTATTTCTCAAAGAACCCCGAGGGGAGGGGTCGAGTCTGTCTCCGCCAAATGGGCTTTTGCCAGAAGGCGTCACAGACAATTTTCCTCCATGGAGCCTCCAGCACAAGTGTAGTGCTGATACTTGCGTGATCCGAGGGTAGAAATACTCGTGTGAACTAAGGGGGCAGTATCAGGATGACGTCACGAAGAAAGGGAGAGAGAGAGATGACGTCATCGGGAGAGGCAGGGGATGGGGGACTTTTGGGAGAGGAATGGAGCAGGGTGGACACGTACGGCGTGAGCCCGCAGAAAATAAAGAAAAGTGTCGACCCTCAATCTTCATCTGGTGGACTCTCTCCAACTGGTGGGAGTGGTGGGATAACAAGATGCCTCGACGCGGCTACAAGAAAAACCCCAACAGATCCCAGCGAAGAAGGGGAGAAACGCGACACTACTCCCAGCACCCTGAACGGCCATGATCCGGAGACGGCCCGGTCTGGCAGACGGGGTCGGAACGACTCCCTGAACCATGAGAAGATGGTGGGGAGCAAGGAGCGACACATCAGAGGTCCCTCGACCCCACGAGAGGAGGCCCTTGGCGGACCGGGTTGATCAACTAACAGAGGCGGTCACACTCCTGCAACAGCTGTGGGAGGAGGTGGCTGCTGACCCAGTGATGCCGCCCTTGGGGTCTACAGCGGCTTCTCTCACATGAGCGTGTATGTCGAACAGACCGCTAAGTGCAGCAAAGTTGTTGACATGTCTGCCATAGAAAGAAACTGGATTCACCAATGTTGCTAGTTTAATGTGTCGTAAAAGGAGACATTGTTGCAGAAATGTTCCAAAATCTTTTAATACAAGGATCATTTTAAAAAAATTGGGCCAGGCTTAGTATAAATGTCAAATTTTAATATGACCCACATTTATTATTGGCATTAAACATATTACATGCGTTCCCATGTGAGGTCTTGGCATTTCTTTTTGATGTTTAATCTTTGCGTATGTGCATTATAGGGTTTAAAATGACACCCCTGCGAAATATAAATTATACTAAACCAGGGCACCCACTGCAAAGAATTGCATAAAAATGCTCTTTCATAATACCATTGAAATGTAAAAAAAAAAATCAATATTAAACGTTTTCACGATAGTAGTATGTTTATTAGAAGCATGTATTGTAATGATTATTTCATGGATATTTTGCATATCGTCAACCCACAACTACCAGCATGGTGAAGTATGGTCAAACTGCCCCTCCCCCATTTCAAATATATTGTTCGATACTTGAGATTTTAACGTAATTATATTGCCTCCAGAAATCAACGCTTCTTCATAATTGTGCCATTTTAATTTTCAAACTCATTTGTATGACTCTGAGATGGAAAACACCTATTAATTGCTGTTAAGAATTTAATTCAATATCAAAGCATATGAAAAAAATATCTTCAATTTATTGTAAGCTGACATGCACTGAAATGATCATGGTGCCTCAATATAAGTGCAGTGAAATATATATTATGTTCACACATGTCGGCCAGTGTTGCTCGACAACCCTTCAAATCATTGGACCTCCTTTGCCAGTACCAAAATATGAAAATAGGTTTTTCCCCTTTTATCTGGCAACAAAACAGGTGTTAAGTTGTTAAAATACCAAACTGAAACCTTTTACAAGGAATCATGTCTGCATTAACCACAATGCTTGTGGTCAAAATGCAAACAAAAAACACTGATAATATATGCATTGCCTTTGAAACTGATTGGTCCACACCAGAGACAGCTTTCTTTTGAGCCTCGTCTCAAACGGTGTTAGACCAGAGGACGCTGTATGCCTTTTGGCGTCCTTTGTTGCCAGATAAAAGGGGAAAAACCTATTCTCAACTCTTGGAATGTCAGGGTAAATTTTTTAAAAGCCTTTCCACATTTGTCACGAAGTCTGCCTTACAACAGAGAACTGTACATGTGGGTGAAGTTTTGTGCCAAGGTCCAGTAGCTGATCAAAGTGGATGGGGGAGGCTGAAATTGGAAAATCTATATATTTAACAGAAATTACATGTAATTGCTTTAATTAATGTTGAGGGCCCTATTTTTTTTTAAAAGCTTTATTTCAGGACCATCTGCCTCTGCAATGGCACTTTTTCAGAGTGGGACCGTTGCTGAAGAAGGACCGTTGCCCAAAAGATCAACATACTTTGTATCATCCTGTTAGAGGCAATGCTAATGACAAACTTGTTGAGTTTTGTTTATTTGTGCTTGTGCACCGCTACCAATGCATCTCTTCATGTTTTGTTCAATGTCAGTTTAACTTCACACCAAGTGTAGTTTGTGGTTCCTTTATATCCCTCCATCCCCCCTTTAAATTGGGCTCGTTCATAAACATTGTGTCAACATCACTTCAAAGAATTGGGCTACCCAATAACACCATCACTAACTCTACCCAAAGGTGTGGCATTGACGACATCTGCTCTCGATTACTCCACCGGGCTGTCTGGAATGCCGCTGCTGCTGCCCTCCAGCTCCTCCATGAACTGCAGAGTGGACTGGAGAGATCTCCTGCTCCTCTTCGGCTCCTTTTCTTTTTCGGCACTCTCCTTGCTCTCCTTGCTCTTGGCCTTACGGCAGTTCGGATAGTGGCGCCGGTTTGGGTGTTTATGCTTCAGCTCGCGCGCCAGCTGCTTGTGCTCCTCGGAGCTCTCTGTCTTGTCCGCCGAGGAGTTCTCGCCACTATTCTCATGAGCCAGGGCGCCCTCCACGTCTGGGCTCGTCTCGTTTCCGATGTAGAGGCAAGGCTTGCCCTCGGGTGCTACTTGGTAGGAGACTCCCCACATGCTCTCACAAAGGTCTGTGCTGTTGGAGTACATCTGTGGGCAGGGACGCAGAGAGGGACAAGAGAGGGCGTGTCATAAATACATTTTTAATGCACAAGCACACTTGAGATTCTGTTCAAAGGTCAAGAGAAATTTGGAAATTAATAATATGGCTGTCAATTTGTGAACAATCAATGAGAACACTGTAATTGCTTATGCCTAAAAAGTATACTGAGTGGTCAGTGGGTTCCCACCAAATTCTTGGGATAGCGAACTTCATGGCTCTCTTTTCCCCTCTGTGCCATCCTACATTTTTCAAAGATATTTTTTCAATAACATTGAAAATTGTAAAACATTTTAAAATGAAAAACGTTTCAATTTTTTTTTTTTTACAAATTTTGTCACGTAAAATTTCGAGCAACAATTGTCCATCTTTTATAGATTTGAAGCTTTCGTGACTGCAAGGATCCATACTCTTTGGTTCTATTCGGTAAAGTCACGTAGGTAAAAAAAAAAAATAAAAAACAATAAAAAATTAAAATAAAATCACGACGTTTCGGCCACAACACAAGTGGCCTTCATCAGGTGAAGGGACCGAACTGTCCAGAAGACAGCGTGGGAGTGAAATCAGCGAAGGCTAGGTCGCGTCCTTTAAGCTGTGTGGGAGGAAACAAAGGTGCCTTGACAAAGGAATTAGCATAAAAATGAGCATGATGTACGTAGGAGGTACATGATGGACCATGATGGACCAGGCGCGGGGGGAGGAGAGTTTACATAATGTTGGTGTTAAGGGAAATAAGCAGCTGTGAAAGTTTGGGATATCACAAACCATCCTCTCGGTTGAAATTGTGTCTGTGTTTGTAAATCTGAATTGCCTTGTGGAAAAATCTCTGATAATAACCCGTGGGTTTGCAAAGAACCTTGGTATCGGAGAAAACTATATCGTGATAACCCACAGTGTTGTAACAGTGATCAGCTACGGGAGAAGAATTAGTTCTGCCATGTTTCAAATCTGATTTGTGCTCGCGAATTCGGTCAGAGACATGTCGTTTTGTCTCCCCGATATAGCAATCACCACAGGTGCAGCTCAATTTGTAAACCCCGGGGTACTGTAAGTCAGGAATGATATCCTTCACGGATGGGATCAGGTCACGGATTTTGTCAATGATACCATTGAAATAATTGAAAATTTGGTCCAACATGGACTAGACCCCGATACACCTGCGCTGGTTAGGGACTGCCTCACCAATACCTACTTTACTTGGAATGGCACCTTCTACAAACAAAATGAGGGTACCCCCATGGGTTCCCCCTTGTCACCAGTGATAGCGAATGTTTTCATGGAGAAATTTGAATCAGACGCCATCCAGACTTCCACCCTCAGACCTTCCCTGTGGAAGAGATATGTAGACGACACTTTCGTCATTTGGCCACATGGCCTCCCAGCTTTGAACCTTTTCCTAGACCACATCAATTCCAGACACCCCGCCATCAAATTCACCATGGAAGTGGAAAAAGATGGCAAGCTGCCATTCTTGGATGTTCTGTTTGAGAGGAGACCTGATACTCTTTGGTTCTATTCGGTAAAGTCACGTAGGTAAAAAATAAAACAACAAAAATCACGACGTTTCGGCCACAACACAAGCGGCCTTCATCAGATGAAGGGGACCAGACTGTCTCGAAGACTGCGCTGGAGTGAAACAGAGCCAAGCTCAGACCATGGCCTTTAAGCTGTGTGAGAAGGATTAAGGTGCCTTGACAAAGGAATTAACATTAAAAAATTAGCATTTAATTGGCGACTTAGCATGATGAAAGGTGTAGAGGGGGTGAACATGTGGGTGCACATGCACCTGCATGTGCTGCAAAAGTTTGGGGTACCACTACTTGAAAAATATACTGTACCATTGAAAATTAGTTTAATGTTTGGTTTGGTTTGATTTAGAACATCTTTCCAATGGTTGCTTAATTTGAAACCATCTTCTCGGTTGAAATTGTGTCTGTATTTTTAGATCTGAATTGCCTCGTGAACAAATCTCTGATAAAAACCCGTGGTCTTTGGTTCTTTCGGTAAAGTCACGTAGAATGATAATAAAATAATAAATTGATAAAATAAAATAACACAATAATTTTCTCACGACGTTTCGGCCACAACACAAGCGGCCTTCATCTGTCCTACCAGACAGTCTCGCCCCCCTTCACCTGATGAAGGCCGCTTGTGTTGTGGCCGAAACGTCGTGAGAATATTATTGTGTTATTTTATTTTATCAATTTATTATTTTATTATCATTCTACGTGACTTTACCGAATAAACCAAAGAAGATGAATCATTGCAGTCACGAAAGCTTTAAATCGAAATAAAAACCCGTGGGTTTGCAAAGAACCTTAGTATCGGAGAAAAGTATATCGTGATCACCCACAGCATTGTAACAGTGATCAGCTATGGCAGAAGAATTCGTTCTGCCATGTTTCAAATCTGATTTGTGCTCGCGAATTCGGTCAGAGACACGTCGTTTCGTCTCCCCGATATAGCAATCACCGCAGGTACAACTCAACTTGTAAACCCTGGGGTACTGTAAGTGTGATGGTTTTGATTGGAGTGTCAAGTGGTTGTTTCTGTATGGAGGGAGAAACAGCTTGGCGGATGGTACGGTCAGAGTATCCATTCCTTTTGAGGGCCAGGTGTACATGTTTCAATTCACTGGTCAGGTGGTGTTGGTCCGAAATGCAATGAGCCCTATGGTATAAAGTTTTGATGAGAGAATTATTTGGGGCTGGGTGGTGGTGGGAATCAGGCTTCAAGTAGGAATCTGTGTGGGTGGGTTTCCTGTAGACAGAATGCCCCAATGAGCCATCAGGTCTCCTCTCAAACAGAACATCCAAGAATGGTAGCTTGCCATATTTCTCCACTTCCATGGTGAATTTGATGGCGGGATGTCTGGAATTGATGTGGTGTAGGAAAAGGTTCGAGCTGGGAGGCCATGTGGCCAAATGACGAAAGTGTCATCCACATATCTCTTCCACAGGGAAGGTCTGAGGGTGGAAGTCTGGATGGCGTCCGATTCAAATTTCTCCATGAAAACATTGGCTATCACTGGTGACAAGGGGGAACCCATGGGAGTACTCTCATTTTGCTTGTAGAAGGAACCATTCCAGGTAAAGTAGGTGTTGGTGAGGCAGTGCCTGACCAGCACAGGTACCTCGGGGTTTAGTCCATGTTGTACCAAATTTTCAATCATATCAATGGTATCAGGTACCGGGACCTTGGTGAACAAGGAGACCACATCGAAGCTGACAAGGATATCGTCAGGGGACAGTACAACGTCTTTGACCATAGATACCAATTAGGCTGACTTAAGTACTGCTGAGGAGGTCTTGCTAGTGAAAGGTAGCAAGGTATCCGACAGAAAACGTGCTAGCTTATAGGTAGGGGAGTTGATCGTGGATACGATGGGTCGTAGTGGAGTGCCTTCTTTATGAATCTTTGGAAGACCATAGAATCTAGGGGGTCTTGCAGCAGAAGGTTTTAGGGAGGGACGTTTAGGCAACCATTGGAAAGATGTTCTAAATCGAACCAAACATTAAACTAATTTTCAATGGTACAGTTTTTTTTTTTCAAGTAGTGGTACCCCAAATTTTCGCAGCACATGCGGATGCATGTGCACCCACATGTTCACCCCCTCTACACCTTTCATCATGTTAAGTCCACCTATTAAAATTTTTCAAGTAGTGGTACCCCAAACTTTCGCAGCACATGCGGGTGCATGTGCACCCGCATGTTCACCCCCTCTACACCTTTCATCATGCTAAGTCCGCCAATTAAATGCTAATTTTTTTATGCTAATTCCTTTGTCAAGGTACCTTAATCCCTCTCACACAGCTTAAAGGCCGTGGTCTGAGCTTGGCTCTGTGTCACTCCAGCGCAGTCTTCGAGACAGTCTGGTCCCCTTCACCTGATGAAGGCCGCTTGTGTTGTGGCCGAAACGTCGTGATTTTTGTAGTAATAGGTTTTACCCTTTTAACTTGCACAAAAACTGACACCTTTATTCAAGGCATCATGTTTGCAATAACCACAACACAAGCAGTCAAAATGCAAACAAAAGAGACAACTCTGATAATAATATGCACTGTCCTTGAATTTGATTGGTCCACACCCGAGACAGCTTTTCTTAGAGCCTAGTCTCCACTGGTGTTGGACCAGAAGACGCCAAAAGGCGTACAACCAAATCAAATTCAAGGACAGTGCATATTATTATCAGAGTTGTCTCTTTTGTTTGCATTTTGACTGCTTGTGTTGTGGTTATTGCAAACATGATGCCTTGAATAAAGGTGTCAGTTTTTGTGCCAGTTAAAAGGGTAAAACCTATTACTATATCTTGTTACTGGCAAAGGAGGTCTCAATGTAAATGCTCACCCCGAGCCCTCAATACTCTGATAGTGCGCTGTTTTTGAGTTGTACGCCTTTTGCCGTCTTCTGGTCCAACACCAGTGGAGACTAGGCTCTAAGAAAAGCTGTCTCGGGTGTGGACCAATCAAATTCAAGGACAGTGCATATTATTATCAGAGTTGTCTCTTTTGTTTGCATTTTGACTGCTTGTGTTGTGGTTATTGCCTTGAATAAATGTGTCAGTTTTTGTGCCAGTTAAAAGGGTAAAACCTATTACTATATCTTGTTACTGGCAAAGGAGGTCTCATAATGTCGTGATTTTTGTTGTTTTATTTTTTACCTACGTGACTTTACCGAATAGAACCAAAGAGTATGGATCCTTGCAGTCACGAAAGCTTCAAATCTAGAAGAGGAGACCTGATGGCTCATTGGGACATTCTGTCTACAGGAAACCCACCCACACAGATTCCTACTTGAAACCTGATTCCCACCACCACCCGACCCAAAATAATTCTCTCATCAAAACGTTATACCACAGGGCTCATTGCATTTTGGACCAACACTACCTGACCAGTGAAGTAAAACATGTACATCTGGCCCTCAAGAGGAACGGATACTCTGACCGTACCATCCGCCAAGCTGTTTCTCCCTCCATACACAAACAACCACT